CACTTCATAGTGTAATGTTCCTATCAAATAAACACTAAAGATAAAGAAAACAATGGAAACTATCTTCACTAACTTTCTTATCTGTTTCACAAACGGGATACAAGTTTGTTAAATAGCATGTGAAAGCTAATAGATCAACTAGGGAATGCAATGTTCAATAAACACATCCCTACCAATATCCATCCGCACAGAACCAGTGAAAATGTATCCAGAGTGGAACCAAATATGTTAATGGCAAAAAGCGGGACGGAGCAGATTGTAGCTTTTAACTTTCCCGGAAAAATACAAGAGAGCATGTAATTATTTTGAAAAAGTTGAAAAACTAATCCATGCTTTTTCACACTATTTCAGAAAAAATGTTGTTTTTAACGGGCTTTTATATGTGTGTGCGTGCGAGCGTGCGCGTGTGTGTTGGTGCGCGCGCGTGTGTGTGTGTACATGTGTGTGTGCGTGTGAACAATCATATCATTTAGAAAAGGAAGACCTTAAGAATTGAGTACCGCTCAAGTCGGTGCTAGGGGGCGTGAGGGATGTTGCACTCATTCATTATCCCTCATGTACAGACTCAATCAAACCGAGTCTGCAATTCTTATGTAATTTTTTTATGAGTAATGCTTCCGAGGGATAACTTTGTTTCCAGATTCTTAACATCAAACTATTTATTTCTTAAAACGAAACAATGACCTAACATACTGCCTGATGCATAGTATACAAACATGTCTCATCTTTATAGCAAAACTTTAACACTATAAAAAAACATTTCAAAACAAACCATATCTGTTAAATACAGTCCATAGATTAAATGAATCTAACAAGTCATTTTACGTTAAAATAGCATAGACTTGAAGAAATAGAAGATATTCTAAATGTGGATTATACGGCATTGATAACCTTGAATAACTTATTTGTTCTAGTTACAATAGCATTGTGTTAATGATCTAGTAAACTAGTAAATATCCTCAAGTTAATGTTTTACTTGTAACTGTTCGACGTTTTATGGATGAATGAAATAAGAATGTATTATGTTCGTCCATTACATTGATTGTGTACAAGTTTAGTGTCAGTGTAAACTGGTTAACTGGTTGACAATAATGTATTCTGGTTTTGGGGAATATTTTAGCCTTTACACAAGTCAGAAACTTTGGAATGATTTTATTTTAGTTTTAATGGTTTCCATTCAAATTGTAAAACGTAGCATTTACAGTCAAATGTACAATTTTATGTTTAATGGAATAAAAATTATAAAATATTTTTAATTCGTTAGACATCAACTTTGATGATACTTTTTTCCAATTCCTTTTCCAATAACATAAGGGCAAAGAACACTTAAATGACAATATTGAACGGAACTCATCAATGATTTTTTATTGATTTAGTTTATTTCAAGACATTTATGAATAACAACGAATATCTGAATAAAAACAAATGAGACAATCTCCTGGAATGTGAACCATAAAACCATACTGAGCATTCAGAAATAGTAAACGTACACATTTTCTACATTTGAAATAGATATCTTTCTACAACAAAACTAAACCATTTTTTATCAAATCTTGATAATAAAATTAGAGCATTACAATTTATTTTATCAGACTAGATTTTTTATAAAATGAATTGGTCTGTAAGGGAAGGTGTGTGATATATTCAATAATTATTTTTATTGTATGTAGCATCAAACATAAGACCAGGAAAGAATTATACATGGATGCTGTTTGCAAATGGGAGATGCAATATCCGGGTAAAATGTTGTAGAACAAAAATAGTAGTATTCATCATATAAATGTTCATACTAAATCACTAAGAATTTTATCAACATTATTTTTAAGTAATATTTTAAAAGAATGAATATATTATAAAAATTGTTTTCGTCAATATTTAAAACGCTTATGAAAAACATTTGCCCATTGTAGACCAATCTACTGTAAAGCATATCATGTTTATATTCATTTGATGATTAATACATCCTTTTGCTATGGCTCACACTTGTTTTGGGACTAAGGAAGAATGATCTATTTGCGTTCGACCTAAATCCATATAGATATTGTTTCATGACGTGTGTATATTTGATAAATATTGTACAATATTTGATAACATTAATTGATATATGGCTAAAGAGATAGCATTTTCTTTTGAAATGCTGAAGCTACATACAAAAATTAATTGTGTTATCAAGTATGATGCATGAAATATCTGTTTTTAATTAAATTAAATTCACATCTTTTATAGGAAAAGGAAATGAATTCGACAAGTTCTTCAAAAAATTAAATTCATGAAATGTTCAGAGAAATTATTAGTCATTATAAAAATGTTAGTTTCAAATTGAAAAATTATAGACATGAAATTTCACGAAGAATTTCAAATTATTTTATAAAAGTATGGATCATTACGCATATAGAAATATTAATTATATTGAATCAAATGATAATCTGCATGAGTATTGAAACGTTAACAATCAAGTAATTGTCCTTTGAATTTACAAAATTTTAAAGTCAATAAAACGTTTACAAAACTATTTGTAAAACTGATTTAACATGCAACTTTAAACGGGGACCAACACAGCTGTTCATGGATTAGCACTAAACTTGTACTTATGTCTCTCACTAAAGTCACGCATTTAAGAATAAATTAAAACTGCCAAATGAATACATATACAGACGTATCTAGCTTCAAAATTTCACGATTTCCATAAATGCTTAAGCCGGTGCTATTGGCCGTGTACGACACTTTGCACTTACCTCTACAATCCATGAGCATGCATCATTTTCAATTTAGTGGATTTTTTGTGCGGAGTAAACTGCTTTATGTAGAAGAAAATATAACAGCTGTAGAAAATTCATTCTTTTGTATTGAGTTCAATATTTTTAAATACACACAGATTTTACACACAGATTTATATTTGTACAGGGAAGTAGGGTTGCTAATGTCAGAACGTGTTGTTCAGTCATTTTGCCCTTTGTCTTGATTATTGGTATGTGTAAAAAAATGTAAAATGTGTACAAAACTCTATACAATGTTATTAAACTAAACTATACAAGACATGACATAACTTTTTATACGTTCAGAAAATTATGAATGGTCTATTTAAATTAAAATCGCGTGATATATTATGATATTATAATGATCACATCCCACCGACTGAGAGTGACCTGAGACAAGTAATTTGTATCGAAAAAAATAACGTTACATAGAATGATATCTAAAATGACTCAACATTTACATAGACACGAAGTTCATACCTTTTTAAGTACCCATAAATTTCTGTTGAAAATGAAAAACTCTCCCATTATCAAACTATATATTTCTTCAAATTAAACAATGACCTAATAATTTGTTGTATGCATGATACACAAACATGTCTTATCTTTAAAGCAAATTTTCAGACTATTAAAAATGTTTCCAAACAGTATCTGTTGAATACAGTGCTTTGATAAAAGAAAAATAAACATCTGAAGTTTAAAATAGAATCAACGTGAAAAAATAAAGATATTCTAAATGCGTATTATTTGAAATGAAATTTCTAAGATAACCTAGAATATAATTTATTGTTTTCGAAACAATGGCATTATTTTAATGACATGGGAAACCTCAAGAAAATAGATATATCTAAACGGTTTGATTAATTGGTACTTTGATGGATTGTATTTTGTTAGCATATAAATTATATTCAAATTGTTTAAGATGTACAAGTTACGGATGGGTGTGAAAAGATAAACGAGTTTGTTTTGTGGTTTTTTGTTGAATGTTTTAACATTTTTACATCAGCACCCTCTTCGAATGTTTATATTTTCGTTTTAGATGTTTTTATTCACGGTGTAAAACCGTAACCACAAATCACCACAACCACCAGTCGAATCTGCAACAGTAATGCCTTTATTTTATGAATGAAAAGTGATAGAGTATATACTTTAAGATAAGCAAAAAAAAACAACGTTTACAGAACGCAAAATTTAAATACAGTTAAAAACATCCGTTCCTATCGAATTTCATGTGAACGCAATAACTGCAGAACTGAATTGAATGAAGCTATCAATCGTGAATGCAAAAAAGTAAGAAAGCATTTTTAACAAGATTATAATTGAAAAATAACAAAGAGATTAGGAAACAAAAACATCTTATTTGAAGAGGAAATATGACTAAAAATAAAGATAAGTAAAATATATTTTAATAAAGGATCGTTGTTTTTCTGTTCTATTTACTATGTTTACATTTTATCTTGGTGCCGTAAAAACTACTTTCAATATTTTATGACCTTGGTCCTCTTTTGAAGAATTTTATTTTTAGTGAATGAGGTGATGTGTAAAACATTTAGATCTACCGCCTTTCAAAAATAATGGTCTTGAGATAAAAGAATTAATGGCTTAATATATCAAACATGAAACAATATAGAAATGCTTTATTGTTGATAAAAAACGCATGTAATCGTGGATTGTTATAATTCCTCCTTCTAAAAGTAATCATTATATAACATGAATACTTGAAAACAAGAAACAAGCACAGATAATATTGTGACCATGTCAATTCTATTTTTGATATCCCTTGAACAGAAATGAGGATATGAATAACACTTTATATAATTTGGCATTAACAAATCACATAATATCTTTAAAAAAAATATTCCTATCTTGGTTTACTACACCTTTAGTTTATACAAATAATTTTACTTCGATTGTGTTGAACGCTATTAGCTTATTGAAACACTCGAATCCGTTGAAGAACCAGTACAAAGCAACGAGTGTAAAGTTCCTTGCTCAAGGAAACAACGGCTTGCCCCCGACAGGGTTTTAACCCAGGCGGTCAGTAATCCTACGAATACTAGTCAGACGGATCGACCACTCGACCACGCCGCCACACCATTAACGTCACTCATTCGTATTGGCACTTATTCTTTTTTCGATCAGATCATTAAGTATGCCTAATGCAAATTGTATCACATAACAAGCACAAAATGCTACAATTGCCATAGGAAACAATTGACATAAACAAAATTTATAAAATAATAATTTCCATTGATTTCGGTTTTATTCAAGACAATCATGTATAACAACAACCATTAACATCAGCACTGTATGTAAATATTACGTAACACAACAGCAATATGGCAAATGTTATAATCTCCGACAAGTAGGACATAAAACATGCTGAGCATTAAGAAATATATAATAATTGTACTAATTAATACGCTAATTTCTTGACAAAGTTATCACTTAATGTATAAAGCCTATTACATTGAATAGGTAATTTTCGGTTCTCGCAATAACTGCAGAGCCAAATGTCATTTAGTACATAAAGATTTTAGCATTCACGAAATACGGATTATCTCCCTTCCTTCTTTATTAACATGTTACACTTTGAATGACAAGTATTATAATAAACTGATACTAGTACCACACAAACGTTGATCTTACCGACGTAACCAAACAAATTTGTTTTACGGTAACAGATCTAAAGCGACTTAAAACAAGCATTCCAAACTATGGAAAAACATTAAATTTTTGTATTCTTTCGTTGCTTATCTTATTTCTTTTCATTTATTGATGTTTTAAAAATTTTATATAGAGTCAACATCGCAAAGCAGTTACTTCATTGTAGTGAGTTCTGTAGAATTTGAACTGCAATCTGAACTTGAACGTTCCATGTAGATTCAGAGTAATTGAACGTTATATAAACATTATATAGACCTTTAATCAATTTCACCCTGGCCACCATTAACACAATCCATTCATGTCCAATCCATGGTATATTAACAGGTTCATTTAAAGGAAAGTTCATGTAGCGTGTTTCACTAGATGCATATGTATATGTATCTCACAAAGGATGGGAAGATAGTTGTTCAAGTCTCCGGCCGATGTCTGGTAAAACTATCAAGAAATCGTTGCACCTTCCCAACTTCTGGTTCTGAAATGTCAACAAAAGATGATATTTATGCATTATGATTTATGGTCGTAACATGGTGTACATTTAAAAGACATGTACAAATACTTTTTATATCCTATAGTTATAGACGATAAATAATTTGCTTAAATCATAATTTGCCTAAATTTGAATCACACATGTCACTAAATGTCCTAAATTCAACTATCCAGGTTTGGATATAAAATTGTAGCATGTAAATATTAAATACATAATCTTGCAAATACACTGATGATACCAAGAATTGTTTCTACCGTCAGAAATTGTTAAATTTTTATTCTAATCTTCTTCTATATATATCCACCTCCACCCCAATTTTTTCTATACGGGGTCCCACTGGGTGTCAATCGTAATGCCATGTACATATAGATGGAAATTATGGCTGACTACATCCTATGAATTTTGATCTCGCTTGCTGAACTTTAATTGATTTTATGCTATTTCTTGTTTTAATTGTGTCCTGTTTCATATTCTACCATACATTCCTGAAGCATTTCGAAAGTTAATTGGCAAGTCCTGTACTTCCTTTACTAAATACATTATTTATTTACGTGCGTTACTATATATACATAATGATAGACTTGTGACAGAAACTTAGAGCAAGATAAGTTTGCATATTTACCACTTTTAGAACTCTCTATACTCTATATATTGCCGGTTGCTCAGTTTGATAAACAATGACAACAAAAATTTACAATATACGACACTCTTCATGAAATGAGATGGCTTCAAAGGCACCGATGATGTATTGAGAGCAGCTGCAAATGCTTGGAAAAGCTTTGAGTGTGTGATGGTTGACGCCATCGCTTTAACTATATGCGCCTAACTAAGTTTGCTTAGATATGCATGTGCTGGTTAAGAGTTGTTTAATTGTTATAGTTTTAAACTTAAAAAGATTATCGATTCTGTCTGTAAGTATTTTATGTGGTAAGATAGTGTTGGGTTTTTTTATATTTCTAGAGTAATTTCAGATATTTCTTGAGAATGAAGTGCGTCAGACCGGTACATTTAGCAAGACATTGATAATAAAATGGAAGCAGAATTTTCACATATCCCTGTAAGAAATCCTGACAAAGATAAAAAATACGTAGGAATAAAGATGTGGAAGTTTTTACCAGAGGAGGCAGACGTGGAAGATGGAGCAATGGTATGTCTTGTGTTTATCTCTGTATGAGCTCTGTGTTCCTCTATGTTGTAGGTGTCGTCACCACTCTCACTGTGCATTGATGCCATAACTGAATAAATCAAATAAACTATCATTGTTGTAATATGGTCGGTTACACAAATAACGAAATGTATACATCATTACTTCATCTGTTCAGCTGTTCAGCAATAATAATAGAATAAAACATCATCATGCAACTGTTTTGCAATACGTTCGATTACACAAATTACGAAATATATACATCATTTGTTCATGTATTAAGCTACTCAGCAAAATTCTACATACTCAAGACATGAGAAATATAAAGACATAATCCTTATATTCATTTTTTTTATTGTTGATTAATTAGTGCGACAATAATGATTGTCAAAATCAATTTTAACATCTAAATCTACATATTTATCTTCACAACAACATTTGAAGAACGCAGCATTCGACCAAATACGAACCTATACACAAACAAGACGACGCCAAAACTTAACACACAGTGTGATTAACAGCGGTAAAAATGATTATGTATTGCATTGACATAATGATAAACATTATTTACATTGTATAAAAGCGCTGGTTCTTACATGTTTTTTATCTGTGTGTATTTTCTTCACAGTAATGTATCCTTTATTTCATTTTCAAAAGAACAACCTATAGGCTGATGAAATTCAAATACGAATTAATTCCAGCACGTATGTTGGGCAGTAATTTCCTGCTAAAACTTATCATTGTGTGAAAGGCTTCCGTTCTTTTATTGACTTATCGTACAATATTACAGACTGACTCGATGTCTACTTAACGCAAGGAACATGACTGTCAAGATAATTGCAGAAGACTGGCGTGTAGAAATATTAATGAATAATTTTTTGGCAGAAAACAAGCATTCTTCTAAAATTAGCGTCAGGCATCGCGTGCCAGATTGAGTGTAAAATATATGTTTATCAAATTGACCTTTGCATAACGCCTGTCTGGATGCTTCCAGATTGGCATGATTCAAAATTTGATATACATATAAAAAATATTGTTGATTTTTTTTATGAACTTCATAACGTCAGAATTTCCCTATATTTCACCAATGGCATGTATTTTGTTATAGAAATTTTCAATGTACAATTCGATCAGTGGTAAAGCATTTTCTGTTTTGCTGATAATACGAGACAGAAAACATCAATGTCTTAAAAGGATACACTGTACATATGAAAATAATCCAAATAACATAATGCAAAGGTGATTGATGTGAGTAAAAAGCGTTAAGTTGATGTTTTAAAAATAATTAAACCTAAAAAAAAAACATTTCGAAATTGTATATAAAAGCGTAAGAGCAAATCATATATTTGTTGAATTATTCCGCCCAGATCACACCAGAAACCCTAAGTTATACATGAAATTTACTTTAAATATCATTGATATGCTTGGATTTTAACAGTACATTGAATCTTATAGAAATTGTAATGTGTGGAAAATAAAATCTTTAAGTATGAATTGAACTTATTGATTTCAAATGAGCATATACTTTTGACTAATGTTTTGTAACAAATATCACTGCATATTATCGAAAGGACATATAACAAAATAGTTATTTTTTGTTCACTTTATTAAGATAAAAATTAAGAAAGCATTATTTTTTACATAAATAAATAGGTATTTATTTAAAGACCTATTTATTTAAAGTGTCCCTAACAATATAATGACATCGATATAAGATTTAAAAGAACATTATTGCTGCGTAAACACAATAAATATAATCCAAAGACTTGAACAAAATGAAATGAAGCATGTAATTTATATGAACACATACTTTTGCTAAAATTGTCAAAAACGAAATCCCTAAAGAACGTTGTGAATGGCAAAATTGAAAAATGTTGCAGGATTGGTTTGATTAAGCCTGTTTATTGAAGGCTGTGGAAAGTAAATGAAACTACAGTCCATCAACGTGGCACCGAATTAAGTACAATTCACCTTTTGAACACGGAATGGTGCAATTTTGAATGTAGAAATATCCAAAGTTGTGTTCATACGGCGATTATCAAGTAACCTCTTTTAATGTGACACTTTTGTGCCAGTTCATATAAAGCGGCATTTGGTCCTAGAGTAAAAAGAGTGTGTACCGTAAACTGGAAAACAATGGGCACATCTAAATAAATGAGATCAAAGGTAATGAAGACTGTCTGAGATAAAATTTAAAGTTTCGGGTTTTTTTACTACTTGTATAAAGTATAGTACATACCTGTCAGTGCTGACAACAATATTTGACCATCATCTTGAACAGCTTCTTGTATCACTTTTGCTATCTGAAACCAAGGCAACGGTTACTATGATATCAAATAAAGTTAGATGATATTTGAATGTGTGATATAATTATTATGTTAAAGGACTCTTGCATCTAATCTATATAAACAGCTGTAAAGACATAGAAATAGAGAAATGTCTTAAAACTGACCTCTTTTGGGTACACATTTGTGTTTTATTTGTAAAAGATGTAAAACAGTGTTAAAATATTCTCATTATTAATTCAACTTAATAAGTCTTTGCTATTTTCATTCGTTTTGTTTTAAACTCATTTTTCATACACATGTACTTGTCAACATGTTATGTAAGTTTGCTGTTGGAAGTATGTCATACAGAACGATTCATTTAAAAAAGATGTTTGTTTTATGTAAATTTACACATTTTAGCTTTAAACACATACACTAGTTGTATTCTTTTTTCTGATATTCTATGACATTTTCTGGATGAAACAAATTAAATAGGGGGCGCTTGAAACAAAATAAATCATTAAATTTCGTTTAATTGGCATAGTACATATTGCAGGTAAATCAATACAAAGTGCCAAGAGCAATATGTAGTCTTCATGACAATTCGTATGGAAATCAATTATCATGCTTGACTAAACGAAAACATTACAAATCTCTTATTTCAAGCAAGAAACGGTATTTTATAGATCTATTGCGAGTATATAAAATCTGGGAGGGAGAGAGAGATCTGCGGTAATGATTACATAGCGACAAGTTAAACACTCAGGCAAAGTGTGTCTCCTCAAAAAGATTAACGTCTTTCACAATCCAGACATGTGTTGACTTTGAAATAGTTGGCCTAATTTTACAAAAAGCAAATGTTTAAAAGGTGCACATTTGATAAAGTTATTCTAAAATGTTTAAAAATAGATTATCTAAGCACGAACTTTGTGGAGCATAAATATCCATATGTGTACATGTATATGCATTCAAAATTAGTTGTTTTAAAAACTAATAGGAGCATACATTATTCTAACAAGCCAATATATCATATTATAGCCTGCAAGTGACATTTAAGTATTTTACGGAATAAGATTATTTTATATGCGGAAACTATTCAACTAGTTTGCGGAACGATGGTTGTTCTACTCGGGTGACTGTTCGTGCCTGAAATATAGCACGGAAATGCAAAACAATTAACCACCCGGCATAGGACGCCTCTTATTTAATATTACCTGAGCTTCTAAATGGCGTCTGTAGACCTTTATGTACAAAGATGTTAAAAACTGGCACAGTCTTGCCGCGCCTCCCTGAAATTTAACTTTTATAATGCCAACAGTGCATGTGACGTCATGCGGAAGTGGGCGGTGTCTGTGGTGATGGGTCGGGCGATGTTGATTGTGATGTCGGCTGCGACGCGGTGGTGAAGGTTGTGATTCTAAATATAAAAAAAATCTATATAAAAATTTAAATCACATAAACAATACAAACGATACAACGCATCACACATGAAGTAATAGTTCTGTTCTGTTTGTATATTAATCAATGCATAATATATGCGGAATATTCCGTATGGTATCTATGTTTATTCCCTATGGTATATGTGTTAATTAAACGGTAATAAGTCGTCCTTGCCTTATACAAGTATTTCAATAAAGTATACAATGCATTAGGAAAATATATATGTGAAACAATTTAATACAGATAGATGTAAAACAGAAGAGGGTAAAAATTATAATAGTAAGAAATGGTCTTCATCGACTTTCTATATACATGTTTATTCTATAAAAAAAAAGGACAGCGCCATTTTGTATTATTTACATGTTATTATATGAAATTATGTCAATAATAGAATATACAAACAACAGATGTCGAATGCTTGTAAACTATTACATAACTTTTGTTTAGAATTGTTTTCGTATTACCATTCTATGTTGCATTTATAAAGAAAACCCTTACAAACGCAACAATAACTCACCTAATGCCAATTAATTATCAGTAAACACTTTCTACAACTTATACCATGCCACTATAATCAAACTTTATTATCTAAATTAAATTACTTTAAACTGTTATAAACGTTGGCAATCACATAACTCGAGCATTTCTTACAGAAATAAAAAAAAATCTATTAATCATTCGTACTGCGTAGGAAAACATTGTCGTCTCTGAAACAACAGTGATTAATAATTAATATAATCAAATTTGTCCTTGTGTTGTGATAATAAATACCTAACTTGGTCACTAACCTTAATGGACTAATTGTCAGCATATGGTATAAATATAAGTATCTACGTAAATGAGTATATACGAAGCCATAATATCTTATAAATGAATAATAAATAGTCTGATATACCGGGTATGTCATATGGTATAGAACTATGCTTAACAAAAAATCATGATTAAATAACGTCGATAATTTAAGTAAAAATAAAATACTTGGGTATCGAGAAGTATAAAAGAAATAATAATTAAAATTATAGCAATACTTGAAATAAGTAGTTGTCTTAGGTTCAGAGACTGGTATCCTTATCAGTAACAAAACATTTATGACAAGTCAAGGTTCCTAAATTATGTGCATATTATATCGATTTATATTATAAATAATTTCATATTATCCGGACATCTTCATATGATTGCTTACCTGTACTGTTGTCTTTGATTGTCAGACATATGGCACCAAGATCGAACACAAACTCTCCAGTCTTGTTGTAGCCAAGTCTGTCAAGGAAAATAGTGAAATAATCTTATCATGTTTTTACCATGTTATAAAATATAACCATCTTATATAAAGAGAAATCATAACATCAATATCAAATAACAGAGAGAGATACGGAAACCTTATCTTGTGTGACATTAAGACTACGGCTTTGTAAATTGAATTTGGAAACGGTGGTGCTAAGCTACTAATTTAATTCAATTAATTTGGGATTTGCACATATATTTTATGATTTAATTATTACCACCTTTTTAGTAGTGAAACAAGTGTCACCTAAATACTGGATATTCAGATTTGATATTAAAATAGCATAATTATTTCAATTTTGTTCCAATAAGGTTGATTTAAGAACTTCATATTACTTAAATCCAACTCATATCAAGAAATTAACATTTATTTTAGTATTAAAATTGCGAAAAAATATATGTTGACAAGATTTTATGAAAGTTAATAAGGACAGAGGTGTGTCTTTTATCTTTTACGATGAAATACCATGACGGAAGTAGGTGTGTTTGTTGACTGGTAGAAATCATTCAAATATATTAGAGTTAATGTAGCAATAAATAAGGTCGAGTAAATTATTAATGACACACTTAAAATGGTTACAAGCACGTTACTAATATTATTGTACTGTGAATGTTATTACTAATTGTCATTCATCAGAAACCTCGATAGAACAATAAACTAGATACATGTAACAATACTTTATTACTTGTTGTTATACAATTAATATTGCTATTTATTATATACATTGTACTTGTAACTTAAATATGGAGATATATTGATGAAAAAAAATGCGTATTTTCAATGCAAATAAAATAATTTTCACTGCAGTGAAACATATTTTCCGTATTTTCAATGGTGTCTTGCCGGACTACTTTCTGCTTAATTCGGCCAATATACAAAATTTAAGAGAAAGTCTTCAAAAAAGAGATAACAAAAGTATATGATAAACAGAAAATTCAAGTTTTTTTTTATATAAATACAGGATTTATTATCATCTTGTGGTATGAAACTTATCATATTTCATACCACTTGATGAAAATAAATCCTGTGTTTATAATTCTTGAATATCGTCTGTGCATTCTACGTAGTGTTTATCTAAATATAATGAGCGTATATTAGAATATTAAATTTTGTACAGATTAGTCTGAAACTTAATATAATATAATAGTGTTTCAGGTTTGGATAATTTTGTATGACTTGGACAATAAAATTGGAAGAAAAACAAGAACAATGATTATCAAATGGAGGAAATGTTTTAATCAGAGACATAGATAACATGTTATCTACATCTCTGTTATAACCATTTACATGTATTAACATACCAATTGTCACTTATGAATTGTTTCCATTTAAGTCATTTTGGATATTTGCCCGGTAAAAAAGACACGTATTTCTTCCATACTTAGTCTATCAACAAATAATATCCTAACAGCTCGTATTCGGCTTAATGCCAAAATGACGTAATCAGACGCAGTACGTGACATATACCATTAAGAGGGTAGAACGCCATTAACTCTATTACGATAATTACCTATCAAGCACTGATGACAATTTCTTATCTCTGAGATAAATAACGGGCCAGGAAAAAAGCGCCATTAGTATACCATAAGTATATGCTTTTAATCCAGTCTGTTATTTAATCACAATGCGATGCCTAGTTAATGATGAGGCGAATTAAGAAGTCAAGTGCGATAAAGCCAAGTTCGTGTCTTAGTATTACGATATATAGTCTTGTACAATTATCATTGTAAAATGTATATAAAAAATGAGATTTTAGATGTTAGGTCAATGTAGGTTTAGGAAAATGAGATGAAGCCATGTGTATTGCAGATACAAAAGTTTATCTTAATCTATATGATAACAAATGAAAAGCCTAATGTTTAGTGTCAATGTATCGAAGGATATCGAGATCATATCGTTTCAACGATAATTCGGGTAGCGTGAATGTATAGAGAATAAATGAGCCGTGTCACGACAAAACCAACATAATGCGTTTGCGACCAGCATGGATCCAGACCAGCCTGAGCATCCGCGCAGTCTGATCAGGATCCATGCTGTTCGCTATTAGTTTCTCTACTTGTAATAGGGTTGGTAAGCGAACAGCATGGATCCTGATCAGACTGCGCGGATGCGCAGGCTGGTCTTGATCCATGCTGGTCGCAAACGCACTATGTTGGTTTTGTCGTGATGCGGCTAAAATGATCAAGCACTGTTTAGATAGTTACAAACTTCACCATTTATAGAAAATAAATGAGCAGTCAATGTTTTGGTAGTTTCAAACGGTGCCATTTTTTATGATTTTTCGACAATGAACAACATCAGTTAACGTAACCAATTAGTTATAACACATTTGAGCTGGTCTGGATCCATGCTGGTCGCAAACCCAGTATGTTGGTTTTGTCGTGACGCGGCTCATTTATTTGTGAAACAAGTATCTGCAATTCATGTTAATCATTTTCGAGACCGATTCTTCATGAACTTAACCATGATGGTGTCATATGGGAAAACATGTGTCATATGGGGAAACATGGCCAAGTATGGCTCGGAGCCAACACGATCGCGATCACTTTAACCACTAAACCACATTTTCCCTTCTCCCCGTAACTTCAATGGCCAAACATATTTATCAATATAAGATTGTTGCAGCTTTCTTTCCCAGAATACCGAGGACATACCTAAAAACTGGACATGCTATGAAGATGAGCTTGACGTGTCTCGAAGACAACAATCTCTCCAGCAATACATACTTGTGTACTTGTTAACATTTGCAGAACATAGACCATCATCGAAATGAACCTTTAATTCTTATAACTGAATATTATGTCAAATCTTTACTTTTGGCTCCGAAAGATGTTTTTATCGTTTATTTTGTTGCAAAAAATCAACATATAGGAATAACTAAAATGTGACAAAATGCGTGTTAGAAATGGGCGGCAATGTTTAAGGATCTCCTAATTCATCATCGGAGAATTGGTAGGAACTGTTTTATTTTTTATTTTATTTTTTGTTCTAACAGGTGTTAAAACATGATCTGAGTTATGCAGTTTATTGCTTTTCGATACCATTATCAAATTTTATGAAATTCATATTTCAACTTGGGCGAGTTTATTAACAAAAATTGTTTTATATCCGTGGGAAATTTGATTTAGATGCAAACATTGAGGTAATAATTTGTGTCATTTATTGCATGTTACAGACAGATATGCAAAGAATGGTTTTGATAAATGACACTTCTGTACAAGAATTTATGATGAATTTAAATTTTATAAAAAATCATTTCATGCCGCAAATCCAGGAGATTTATAAACACATTTTGTAACATGTATAGATACTACATTGTATTTGTTTCTGTGGAAAATATTGTGTTTAGAATTGAGAAAATCAAAATATGTTCATGACTGATCAATGCGACTATTTAACATCGTAATGAATGTTATTCCATTATTCATATAATGTTAATAATTAAGTGTTTTCATAATGGCCGTGTTATTGGGCCGAAGACTGTCATATTAGCCTGAGGCCGAAGGCTAATATGAAAGTCTAAAGCCCAATAACAAGGTCATTATGAAAACACTTAGTTATTGACATTTTTTTTAATTAACTACTGTGTTATGTATCTAAAAAAAACTTATGTGAAATTCCGTTGTGAGGTATTGCAAATGAGATTCTTGTTTTAAAAATGTCTCGAAACCTACTTTGCAGCAATTCAAAATGACGACTATTTTTAAATGAAGAAAAAGCAGATTGATAATGACCGAGCTGGAGAGCCAATCAAAATTCTCCAATCTCATAAAAGCAGAGTTTTTCATAAATTCCGTACTTTTTGCATAATGGCCTTGTTTTATGTTCATAATGTCCTAGTGAACTACATATTAGCCTAACATTAGAAGTGAAAACGTGCCTTATATTGAAACGTGAATTTATAAGGAAACATAAGAAGTGAACGTAGGTTAATCATGAATATTTCATGTATATATTTAGTTTTCCTTTTCAAATGGAATATGGTAAGTGATTTAGAGTGTACTTTTCAGAAACAAGATAGATCTAATAGTCGCGTCACGACAAAACCAACATAGTGGGTTTGCGACCAGCATGGATCCAGACCAGCCTGCGCTTCCGCGCAGTCTGATCAGGATCCATGCTGTTCGCTTACCAACTCTATTACAAGTAGAAAAACTGATAGCGAACAGCATGGATCCTTATCAGACTGTTCGGATGCGCAGGCTGGTCTGGATCCATGCTGGTCGCAAATGCATTATGTTGGTTTTGTCGTGACGCGGCTCATATGTCTCAGTCTATAACTATGTGACTGGTAAACATTGGATTTAGCGCCTCTTTAAAGAAACAACTAAAAAGCATGTTTACCAACCCAATGGTTAAATGTGTTCATTAAATATTCTGCAAAAACTATAAGCACAACATGCTTAATGGTTTGTAAATCTCTTTTCAGAAATTCCACTATTGATGATAAACGTCTACACTGCCTATAGCTAGAAACAGACAAACTTACATATTGTAAAGTCGGCATTATAAATTAGGTACACACCAAAAACGTATATGAGTACATGGTGTATATGGGATTTTTCATACATTTGAACGACTTTACGTATATAAACACATTAACAATGCCATGCCATTCTGTCGGGTTGTAATATTGTCGCTCCGCCGCTACAACAGCACGAATTGTTGCGTGGACGCTAAGTCAGACTAGTAAATAGCTGTGTCGTGTTGGCGACATCACCTTTTGTTTAAGTGTTCTTGCGTGGTATAAAGATGGTACCGTGTCATAAATCAGAAAGACAAATAAACAGTCATAAATGTTCGCGCCAAAACGACAACAACTTATATTTATACTTACACCCCAGGTCTCTGTATATTGTAGTTCCCATGAAGTCTTAGAGCACCGTTGTTTGCTATAAACAATTTACCAGTGTTTGTTACTTTAGGCCAATGAACATGGACAATGCGCATTCTGGAAAAAAAGAATAGTTCGACAATCAGATATATCATACACGAGAGTTAATCTTACAGTATATACCAACCTTATAAACATTACAGAAAAAGTATATTAAACAAATTTACACATAATACAAGAGCAATATGCTCAGTAGTTTTAGTTGTTTGTTCTACAGGTATATTATAACACATTTTTGTAAGCAGTAAAAAAGTAAATACAAATATTAACCCTTAACCTTCTGAATGTCTTAATTGGACTTATCCAGCTACTTTTTACCATCCATTTTAATTTTTGGTGGTATTGACTTGGAGATGAAAATTGTAAGTTGATACAGCATGGTCCGACTGCAGGGATGTACAGGCTGACCTGGCTCTATACTGGCGGCAAAGGCTGGTCAATGTCGGTTCCAGCATTGGGTGGGTTGATGGAATTGTTTGTTAAAGGAGATTCTAACATTACTTCTTCCAAAGCATTAAATATACATGACAAACATATACCAGGAGCTCCTGGCGTGTCACATTGATATTCATGGTAGAAAATAAGTGTGAAACCATCTTGATTATCAATGGCATACGCCGAAAGCCTGTGGTATATACATGTACATACATTCATTTTGAAACTTTATAAAAGGACAGAAAACTTCCACTTATTTGTCAAGCTGGAAAAACAATTACTCTACTCTCACTAAGCAATCAATATTTTACGATTCATAAAGCTCTATAATTCTCTACATGAAGAAATGGCATAATGGTTGTTTTGCACGAAATTTGCGTGCCTGTAGATGACAACTGTAATCAGATAATGTTGATATTTTCAAATCTGTTTTCAAATAAACTGTTTTCAAAAGCTTAATCACACCATGTCACCAACAGACAAGGGAAAAAATAAAGTTAAAATAATAGAATAATGAGTCTATATTTGAAACATACTGTTTTCTGTAGAAGAACATGAAAGACAAAATATATAATTAAGTATACTATTTTATGTAAGAGTATTTAAGGAAATTTAAGATATAATACATTCTTTAATGACTTACTATAATTTCTGTGATTATTAAAACAAACCTAAGTAAAACGATATCGAATGACTGCTCATAAAATTTAACATTTGCCTACCCTATTTTTTTCATCCAATTTTCTATTTATTTATTAAACGATTTGCAATTTGGTCACATTATAGCATCCGAGATTTAGATGGGTATATATGGAAGGGTTAATTGTTTGGGCTGTCCGTAATCTGATCTGTAATCTTGAGGTTGAAGAGAATGTTATGGAGCTTTTTTCTTTGTTGTTGTTTTTAATATATTGCATGTGAGTTTTTGTAACGCTTGTACAAGTTAGTTAACATTATTTATATTATATTATTATACTTAAAGCTGATAACCTTTTAATAACAAATGTCGTAGATAAAAGAACAAATGAGCCGCGCCATGACAAAACAAACATAGAGCGTTTGCGACAATAATGAATCCAGACAAGCCTGCGCATCCGCGCAGTCTGATAAGGATCCATCCTGTTCGCATACAAACCCTTTTACAAGTACAGAAACTGACAGCGAACAGCATGGATGCTGATCAGACTGCGTGGATGCGCAGGCTGGTCTGGATCCATGCTGGTCGCAATGCACTATGTTGGTTATGTCATGGCACGGCTCAAATGATTACAAGACGTTTGACAAACGAATTTGCCGATGTCAAACAGGAAGTACACTCCAGAGGACAATAAATATTTTCATTATTCTACATGTGTATGGACATTGATTGATATGCAATGATTTAAGCAATGTAGTAACTTAATTAAAGTCATATTGTTAACGCATACTTATCGCATACAAAAAAGACAATATTTTGCCACCAGTACATAGCCATGACAGCCTTTGCACTCATGGAGGTTGAGCTCTACTGTTGGGTGACCAACTTGAGAATTTCGTCCTGATATCCTTAAGTTGTCTAAAGGCAGTTCCAAAAATGAAGTTGTGCAAGTCGTTTGGGGTTTACAAACCAAATATCAGTTTATCGCGGAAATGTTTTATCCTATATGTGAATTGCCGCAAAATAGTGTCCTATTAGTTACATTATATTTTACAAAGCAATTTGAATGCTTGAGTATACCTTTTTCGTAATAATAGTTTAGACATGCGATTCCAGATTAGGAGATGTTTATTTTGATTTTTGTAATGTTTTATTTATTTATTGTTGATATCAAAACGTACTATATATTCGTCTGCTTTCCCTATTATCAAGCAGTATGTATACATGTATATTTCATATACTCGAAAAATCATTTGACAATCATGTATAAGAAATCTAAAACAAGAGATTTAAACTTCAGACTTACTCTGTGAACCTGTAGTGAACCTTGCCAACTTGGCCAACCTGGTCAGGTACCACATGTTCGAGCAGCTTGTCCTGTAAATTCTCCATCAATTTCTGGTAATACAATTTATACAAATACGAAATTAAACAACCCATCTCTATTATTTACTTTATCACGAAAATTAAAACTACGTTGTATTTTATAAACAGATGCTGCATGGAATGCTAGCTTTTCAATTATACTGGAATTTGTAAAGCATTATATGTATGTATATATTGTATTAAAGTGGTAACATACTGTTGATAATGATTCAAACTTCATTTGCATGTACTTTATGTTGTTAATTGTTATACTATTACAATAGTGTTGCTGTATACAACATAGTGTATAAAAACGATAAAGTATAGAAAATACCAATCGCAACTTTCCGGCCCTTCCGTCAGTCTTCGGATACAGGCACATATTATTGATAACAGCCGAGATGTTCCGATTGAGAAAAAAATCACATTACAACAGATCGAGATATTTATTAATTTATAAAATAATTTATTGTGTTTGAGGTTTTCACCTTTTTGTACTAATAGTTCCACCATATACAAATGACCAATGACTGCCTACTGTGTTTGAAGTCCGGAGTCTGAGTCTGTGCAAATCTGTTCTCAACAATTATGACCAACTTTTATCATCTGAATGAATCAACCATACCTGATTAGCTGGAAATATAATGTGTTGCTGACAGTTGTCATTATAAAGAAATAGTTGCATACAGTTTATATTCAATATTTGTAAAAAAAAAAGTTAAAACAGTAATAGTAATCAACTTTCGCAATTTCTAAATGATTTCAATTACACGTGTATATATAATAATATAAAATTTACAACGCAAAATAATACAGTTAAACGATATACTTGTATACAACGGAATCACTTCGGAACAAGCGTACATTTACGCTCAAAGCATAAGACGCAGAATAATTGATGAAAAGGTCCTATCGGACATTGTGACACACGAGTTATATGGATCAAAACGCTCAAGCATTATATGTATCATAGAATGTAAACAGATATCGATATAGTCTCAAAAATAAACCCATTTCATCAATAGTGCAATTATTACTATCACTTTTATAGAGTGGTTTGGGCTGTTTCACTATGATTGAAAAAAAAATCAAATTAAGAGTAGAGTCCAATAAACGTATGAAATTTAATAAGAGTACAGTTCAATGTCTAATTATGCCGGACGCGTACACATACTACCGCAAACATGTATGGACAAGATGCTCAAAAGATGCGTGAGCATACCCTATTAAAATGCGTACATTTAGGTGTACACACACATATTTTATTATCTGAGTCATTCTTTGAACGTATATGAAGACATAATAACAATACCGTAAACAGAAGAGCCATATGATTATGAAAATCTGAAATATCATTACGCGCGCTTGAGGACAATTGTACAGGAAACATATGTTACGTAAGATCACTCACCTCATGTTACAATCCAAATGAAATCCTAAAGGAACTACTTTTTCCCCTGAGTGAAATAGTCAATACAATACGTGTAACATACTATATTGTCATCATTTAATCTCTGTATGAATATGCCTTTAACAGATTGATCGATATATTTAGCTGGTCTGACTCGAAGTTTTCCATTTTCACGCTGATCGAGAGTTTGTATCGATTATTGCGCTGTGAAATCTTCCTCCGTCGCTGGCGGTCCTGTAACCGAATGCTCCGCGGTACGGTAAATAAAATAAATAAATATGTAAGTTTGTTTGTTTGTTTTGGGTTTTACGTCACATCGACAGATAATAGGTCATATCGCGACGTTCCAGCTTTACTGGTGGAGGAAGACCACAGGTGCCCTTCCGTGCAATATTTCAGACACGAACGGGCACCTGAGTAGAACCACCGACGTTCCGTAAGCTAGCTGCATAGCTTCCTCACATGAAAGAATCCAAGGTCCCTGTCGGGATTTGAACCCACAGCGGTGAGGGGCAAGTGGTTTGAAGCCACTCGGCCACGGACGCCCCAAATATGTAAGTATTAAGTTTAATATATGCTGATATAACAACTTACATTTATCGCTTTCTCCTTTACAATAATTCCCTCTTTCTATTCACAAATAACAATTGTTTGATTTTAATTTAATGGGTGTAATTGTTATCTATAGTTTTTATCATGTGACAAGGCATTTGTTTATCATTGGATACATCATACAACAGAGACGCGTGCCTGATCAAACCTGGCTATCTCATACGTAATATTTGATAACTCTTTATCTGTTGATAACAATGTTGTTATTCTGCATGAATTTTTTAATTGGTACACAATTACTCTGGTAACAATAACGACTTTCACTTTCATTTGAACCAAATTTACATTATATTAAATATCGTTCAATACTCGATATATAATTTTTCCAATATATCTACTCATGACCCTTGTAACTAAGTACTTATGATGTTATATTAAGGATGTGAACTATCTAAACAAGAGCCATGTCAACAAAGCCATCCCCCGCCGAATGTGTTTGCTCATTGTAAGAATGTATATGTAGTAGAGCAGAATAATTCAATTTTAAAACGTTTTCTGGTAATGAAAACTGATGGCTGAAGTGATTACAGATTTGAAACCTATGTGAATACTGATGGCTGAAAATAACAAAGAGCAATAACTGAAAAATAATGATCGGTAGCGTTATCATTCTTATGCGCGGCCCTCCTCCTCAATGAGATAAGTTGATACCTCTAACACTTTTGAGATAAGGTCCGGACAAAAAGTATGAAAAATAACAAAGGGCAATAACTCAAAAAATATAAAGGGTAGAGTTATCATTCTTGCGCACATCATTCCTCCTCAATAAGATAAATCCACCTATGAAGTTTCATGTTGACATCTCAAATACTTTTTAAGTTATACTCCACTCAGGTGAAAAATTAAGTATGAAAAGTAACAAAGGGCAATAATGAAGGGTAGAGTTATCACTCGTGTGCACTGCAAACCTCCTAAGTGAGATCTATCCACCTATGAAGTTTCATATTGATATCTCAAATGTTTTTTTTTACTTATGATCTGGACAAAAAATAAGTTTAAAAAAATACCAAAGGGCAATAACTGAAAAAATTATGCAGGGTAGAAATATCATTCTTGTGCACTGAACTCCTCAATATGATCTATCCACCTATTAAGCTTCAAGTTGATACCTCAAATACTTTTAGAGATATGCTCCTGAAAAACATGTCAGACGAAAGGACGGACATACTGATGGACGAAAGGACAGAAAGACGGACAGAGACTAAGTTACACTTTGAGTTTCAAGTGAATACCTTATATCGTAAATACTTTATAAGTTACTGTCTGGACAAAAAATAAGCATGAAAAATAACAAAGGGCAATAACTGAAAAATTATGGACGGTAGCGTTATCATTCTTGTGCGCTGCCCTCTTCCTCAATGAGATCAATCCACCTATGAAGTTTCAAGTGGATACTTGTAAAACTTTAGAGATAAGCTCCGGACAAATAATATGAAAAATAAAAAGGGCAATAACTCAAAAACTATAAATAGTAGAGTAATCATTCTTGCGCACAGCATTCTTCCTAAATAAGATCTATCCACCTATGAAGTTTCATGTTGACATCTCAAAGATATTTTGAGTTATGCTCCACTCAGGAAAAAAATTAGAATGAAAAATAACAAAGCGCAATAACTCAAAAATTATGAAGGGTAGAGTTATCATTATTGTGCACTGCACACCTCCTGAGTGAGATCTATCCACCTATGAAGTTTCATGTTAATATCTCAAAGGCTTTTTAGTTATGCTCTGGACAAAAATTAAGTATAATAATAACAAAGGGCAATAACTGAAAAATAATGCAAGGTAGGTTATCATTCTTGTGCGCTGCACTCCTCTTCATGGACATATATCCACCTAATATAAAGTATGAAGTTTCAAGTTGATACCTCTAACTCTTTTTGAGATAAGCTCCGGACAAAATAGTATGAAAAACAACAAAGGGCAATAACTAAAAACTTATGCAGGGTAGAGTTATCATTCATGCGCACAGCATTCCTCCTCAATGAGATACTTTTTGAGATATGCTCCGGACAAAAAAGTCGGACGGAAGGACGGACTGACGGAAGGATGGATGGAAGGACAGACGGACGAAGATTATTTCTATACCTCCCAACCCCCCCCCCCCCTTTCCGCGGGGGATAATAAACAGAAAATATAACAATTTTCTGTTTTGATATTTAAAATGAACGTGGTACTGTATATATGATTTGTTGGGAATGATTTACATTTAACAATATCATCACTTAATTTTTGATAATATTATTTTAAAATAGTTGGAAATGAAGTTATCATACTTATGAGAATTTACGTACATCAAAATAAAAAGGAAACAATTATCTCCCATAACGTAAACAATACGGATGGTAAAATGCAACACGGTCTGTATTTTTATGTAGCTTGTTGGTAAGAAGTAACTTCACTTACTCTCTTATTTTCAATCTGGCAAGTGAATGAACTTCTCCATATAAAACATCAAAGAGAGTTATCAACATGTCAATGACACCAACACCATCCATTCTAAATGCTGAATACAATGTATTTTGTTCCACAGTGTTTTGTGCCTCGTTAATCATTCGCCGGGCATCACAGACAAATTAATTTAAAGACAGTAAATGATAAATTACCGTGTTTAGTAGCAGTTAGATAATCTTATTTATTGCGGATGCGCGGGCAGGTCTCGATCAATGCTGGTCTCAAACGCACTATGTTGGCGGCTCATTTATATTCGATGACTACATTATCAATTCTCAAATTTTCATATTATTTTAACGACTTTGGAAATCTGAGTGACCTTGACCTTAGCTAAAGTTTCACTCAGCACGATGCCTTCATATGTAATTTATAAAACAATCAATCTATGTATTAGAAGTTTCACTATAGACAAACGTTTCCTCAAACCTCTGTGACCTTGACATGACGGTGAACATGAAGAGCCTTCCATGCTTGTAGAAGATATGCTTCGGACAAATTGTGACATTTCACCATGCCTGGTGACATGATATATGCTAAACTCGTTCATAATTCATAGAAAATATTCTCTCCCTCTTCTATATATTTTATCTATCTCTGAATATGCCAACCCTCTCGTGAGTGTTATAGGCAGTATTAAATTGTCCCTACACCTTTTTTTATATTTTTAGCCAAATATGACTTTGACTGCAAGGACACGAATTTTGCGCGTGACACACTACCTCTGTGTTTCAATTTTTCATTTGAATGCATGGCACAACACATTTGCTTAACTTGTGTAATTGTGCCGAACACATAAATTCTCAAAGGCGGTTTAATTTTGTTCTAAACAACATTCATAAAGAATGAACTATTGAAACTGCTACATTTAGAAATTTGTATCCTTGTAAATAATAACAATAAAATATGAAATCTACCAAATTTTTACACAAAAAATCAGAACTAGAACCTAAGTAACTTATCCACAGGGGATGAAGTTTAAAACATAAAAACAACATTGCCTAAACTAAATTAGTTATAACAATTGTTTCAATTTACATAAAAAATATTCACACTTCTTCAGTTTTGTCAACATCTTTTCAGATTATTGTTCAATAAAACAACATTATAAAATGCAATGAATATTTTGAAATCTTACCAATTTAGAACATTTTTGTAGTCTTTGTAAATAATAACAATACAAATATTAATATTTTACAATTTATTTTTAATCACAAAAAAAAATCAAGAAATAAATATCCCATACGTAACATTATATTACAATTAATTTAAAAATATAAAAAACTAAGGGCAATGTTAAACTAAATATAAGTTATCAACAAAATTTCCATTTCAAGTACATAATTATAAAATATTCACAATTCATTCCTCTCACCTTTTTTTCAACATTCTTTCCAACCATCTCAAAGCCTTATTGGCCTGTTGTAATGGCCTAAACTACCTATTTACCACCTTGCACATCAGTATACAAACACAATACAAATTTAGGTACTAAGTAAATACTGTTTATATATTCTCATTCTAAATCATCTATTTTTCATAATAAAACAAAATCATTAAATGTAATGAAAATATTTTATCAAAATCTATGTGAAATAAAATTTGACATCTTTTATAATTCACAGAAGATGTGGGCATTATAGATATTCATATAGTAGATATGCTCTGGGAAATATCTGGAAAATATCTGGTTATATTATCATCTCTAGTGATTTTTTTTATCTGAATTTTGACCCGTGTGACCATGACCGAAGGGACCTAATTTTGCATGCGACACTGCCTCACAATAGTACACATTTGTGCCAAATTATATTGAAAACCCTCAATGCATGTAGAAGTTTTGCTCTATACAAGTGTTTTTCGATGACCTCTAAGTGTGACCTTGACCTTTGGCCTAGAGACCTGGCTCATGCACATGAACTGCTTCTCATAGTGGTGAACATTTGTTTGAAGTTTCATTAAAATTCTTCCATGGGTGTAGAAGATATGCTCTGGAGAAAAATTGGATGCTGGGGCGGCACCCACCAGGAAGTAAACTATGACTTGTTTTTCAAATAGGCATAACAAAAAAATTCAGGGAACAAAAAACGACTGATAAAATGCTCATCTAAGTGTATTTTACTAAAACACTTTACAAGCACTTACAAATTGTACTACTTTTAAACTAACTTTCAATCTAAAAATAAATAATTTGATATATTTTGTATCATATAATCAGTGCAAATAATTAAATTAAAATAAAATCACATAATGATATATAGTAAATAATAAATGTAACATGAAGCAAAATTGTTACAAAAACATTTACAAAAAGGGCCATGCTGCTACAAAATAACACTTAATATTTATCAAAGATGGGCAAAAAAAATTATAAAGAAATGAATGCCAAGAGCAGTCTGTCAAAACACCAGTCAATGTTGCTACACATTACCAGTATTCAAAAGGGTAACTTCACAAAGGGAAGAGTATTTGATGTCTGGTGTTACTGTGTTTTTGAAATGTTTTAATTTTGTTTGTTCAATTGGGTTTTACGTCACACCGACACAGTATAGGTCATTTGGCGACATTCCAGTTTTACTGGTGGAGGAAGTCCTCAGGTGCCCTTCCTTGCATTATTTCAGCCACAACCGGGCACCAGAGAAGAACCACCGACGTTCCATAAGCTAGCTGGATAGCTTCCTCACATGAAAGAATCCAAAGTCCCTGTCAGGATTTGAACCCACAGCGGTGAGGGGCAAGTGGTTTAAAGTCAACAACTTTAACCACTCAACCACGGATGCCCCTAAATGTTTTAATACAAATTACATAATTGTTGAGGTGAAATTGGTTCATGTTTATGTATGATAACAGTTTGTGACTTTGCTGCCATTTGTCATGCATTTTCAATAATAAAAATATTTATACAATTATGTTTTACAATTTTATCTTTGTACAAATTTGTTCTGAATTGAAAATGATGTTAAGCACACAAAAAATCTTTAAAACTAAAATCCATGCTGTAATACACAAGAATGCAAAAGAGGCAATTATTATATTAAGTTGTCCATGACAACTTAAATACACACAACATAAGTAAGTTTTAATTTATCATTAAAAATATAACCAATGTGTACAACTTATCTCCATGCAAAACTATTGTCGATTATTTCCTAAAACATCTTTGCATTGGGATCTTTCCCACAACTATAAAATATACTTAATACCTCAATACATAAACACATGCTGAAGTTTACCCTCCCCCCTACATGAAAAAACACAAACACGGAGATCAACTAGAAATAATAATCATCTTGCTATTTTTTCACTCTTAATGGATTTAGACCAACCAGTCAGATTTCAAAAGCATCTGATTGGTTGAAATAATTCTTTTTTTAAACTGACCAACAGAATTTCAGCATTTGTATCTTTACCAGACTATGTCACATAAACAACTTTTCATATCACACTAAGGCACTTAATTAAGTAAACTTAAATAAATGAAGTTGTCTTGATTGTAGAACTAATTTTTACAGTATATAATAAATGTCCATAGTGATGATCAAACAAATGTGGTTGCTAGGGTAGATATTGTCCTGTCTTTCAATGGCAAAGTTATACTGTCAAGATAATGATGAAACCTGAAAGTAAATCAAATAAGAAAGAGTTAATTTCATAAAAAAAGAGAAACTATTGTTAAATCTGATTAATCCTACAATATAAAAATTGTAAAAACACTTAGTAAAGAATGTTTTTATATTAATAATGTAGTTTACATGTTCAAATAGAAAACAAGTCATGATAAAATAACATAATATTAGTAAACAGTTTTTTTGTTTTATATCAAAATGTTTGTATCATACTCCGCAGAAGACTATCAGTAAAATCTGGGTAACTAAAATGTGTTAGTTTAAATCAAGCCATCAATTTTTTCTCCAACAAATAAGTTGGAGCAAATATATAATGAGACTCAGAGTCCTAAGACTCAGTCCTCCTTTATATATATATCTCAGAACTGACAATTTAAGAACAATAGTTTTGTCATGTACCCATATTTTTAAGTCTGACATGCTTGTTAAAAAGTCAAGTGAAAAACAACTTTCTTTAGTTTATACTAATTTATTTCCGTTTGTTATGGAAGCTATAAACTTATTGAAACACTCTCGAATCCATTCCTGGAACCAACCAGTACCAAAGCAATGAGTATCAAAGTTCTTGCTCACAGATACAACACCTTGTCCCTGATAGTGTTTGAACTCACACTGCCCGCAACCCTTAAAATCCTAGACGTGTTAACCACTCGGTCACAGTGCCACTAAGTATCTTAAGAACATTAATACTAACCTCCTTTTTGTGTTAGTAACTTGTCTACATTGTTCTGTTCTGCAGATTTCCCTGAGTGTAGGCAGGTAGTCTAGATGTACTGATCTAAGATGTGAATGTGATACCAGAGGTAGATTATCTACAGTATTGTCACATGCTCTCTTGTACTCACCAGGAATGCTACAAATAATAATGTAAGAAACCTACATGAAAAATATATTCCTAATTGTTACAAAAGAATATCAGTTTTCACTTAATATGCTTACAATGAGGGACTTCTCCCTCCTTGTTGGCCGAGTGTAAACACATGCCCTCAGTTGTAAGTCACACCCAAAACTTGTATTATCACCTTTCATAGTACATTTGACAAAAATAATCCATGCTTCATATAATTACTTTACTTTACACAAAGTGTTTTTGTTTTGGTTTTACGGCACGCCAAGACTGTAGCACCAAAAGAGGGAAGACAATTTTGGCTAAACCCCGGTGTTACAAACGACACCAGGTGCAACCCCCAGCCCCTCCACCACAACAGTGTAAGAAATTAGGATTTGAATCTACTAGGCTGGTCGGACTACCAGATTGGAATATTCACTAGCCCAAAAGACATTTCACTAGCATGATTCATTTGTTCAAAACAGTTGTTTATATTGCATCTGAAAATACAGTAGCCTGGTCCGGCTTGTTACTGTGAAAAGTTGGTAGCCCGAGGAGAAATTTAGTAGTCAGGGGCTATAGGACTACTGCTAATTTCGAAAACTGCCACAAGGGGCACAAAGTGAAAACTTTAAACTGAAGATAAATGCAAACTTAAACTTGTATTACCACCTCTCATAGTACATTTGACAAAAATAATCCATGTTTCATACTTAAATGCAGCCAGTATCCATTTTACATAACTTAGGTGAAATATTTGTCCACACCAATTTTGCCGGCGGTCACATTTTACTGATTATCCAGCCCATTACAGTACTAATTATTTGTGAAAACTGGCTCAAATTACTGTAACCATCTTAACCATCACTTTCCACTTGAAGGATAACCCTTTGCATTTTTACCTCTTTATCTTGACCACAGCAATCATCAAACATTTCTGAAAGTCCGAAAAAACAGGTTCTTCTGGCTGTGGGCAATTTTATTACAACTTGTACTATTAAATCGTAGAAATTTTAAAAGAAATCTTTTCAGACTTATTCTTACCTGATAACATTATTGTCAACTAGGGTGAAATGTTCATTCTGCCTGTTGACTGGAAGGATAAAATTCTCCTCAAATGTCTCATTCTCCCTGCACAACTTCTCCACTTCCTCCTTCACCATACCACAACCACTATACATCTTACACATGCTCCTAGTTCCTATTTCTGAGCTATAATCCCTACTTGTTTTGAGATCTAATTCACAATGTGTTGGAAATTTAGCAAGTTCATTTCCCATACCAGACACTAGAGTACCTTTAACGTCCCTACCATTAAAACCCTTTAAATTATCACAAACTTTCTTTGTATCGATAGCTTCTAACATATCTAATGATGACATTGTGTCGTAAAATTGTGTAAAATATGACAAACTTTTGGCTAAACATAGATTTTCCTCTTTGCATCCTTGCTTTGAGCTTTCTACATTGGTCTGATTGTCCAGATTGTCTCCCTTAGGTTCAGCAGTATCTTCAACTTGACTGGCATCATTTGATGCCTCACTGTCATATAAATCACTTTCTATTCGTATTCTTTGCCTCGTTTTATTTTTACTCTTGACCTGAGACGGTTTGAATACTGAGTCTACAACTGTAGAAGTAAAAGGTAAGATACAGTGTAGGTTGTTATAAAAGAGATCACTCCCCGAGTTCTGTTTAACATTACAGCAAGTACATATCATCTCTTGAAGGGTGGACTCTGTCTTCGCCTGTAAAACAGAATTTAAGAATATATATACAGAAATTTTTTTCACACTTCTCAAACAAGGATCAAAAGTGCTACTGCTTTATTTCTTGGATTTTCAGTTGCATTATATAGAGGATATATATATATATATATATATAAACTTAAAATAAATCCATACCTACATCAAACTTGTTGCATTTTTTCAGCTTCAAAGTAGAGTTTGCTACATTAGTGAATATATTTTTTTTTCCAATACATTTTTTTAAATTGCCAAAAAACCTTTCTTGGCTTCTGTTTAAGCAGTTTAATTTCCACTTTTGTGTTATTTTGTGCTACAATAAGGTATAGATTAAACGAAAGTCTTCAGCACTGATGTAATATATATTGCTGGAAAAAATACTAACCTTAAGCCCCTGAGATAGCATATCAGCTATGCAAATGCTACTGGCACTTATCAATGACTCCAATCCTAAACTATGAACTAAAGGATAATTTTTACACTCCTCATTTGTCTCCACAGGTATCGATTCTGACATGACTGGCGTAACAACTTTGCTACAAGCATCCACAGAATTAGAACTTTCGTCTTCCAAAACCCGACGTCTTTTCCGAGATGGTTTAATGGAAACAAAGTCATCATCACTGTTGTCTACATCTTTATCTATTGTATCAGTCACTTGTCTATTTTCCGTTACTACAGTATCACTTTGTGAACAGCTTTGAGAGTTTTCCGTTTCTAATCCAAGCAAGTTTGCAGTCTTTGTCCGATCTTTAACAGCTGGAATAACTCGACTAGAGGTCACATGACCTCCTCCTGACTCTAGAAGATATTGTAGAGTTATCAGACATTTCCTCATATCACAGTTGTAAAATTGTGCCATTTCTGCGAACATCAACGGGTCGGTGCGTACGTTCTCAACCAGTGAGACTGTTTGAAGGTGAGATGTAATACTTGCCTAAAATAAAACAGAGGACAAAAACTGAATACCTACAGGACAAAAACTGAATAACTAAAGGACAAAAACTGAATTAGTGAATACCTTCAGCACAAAGAAAAAACAGTAGCCATCTTTCACCATCAAGCCAATGTGAAATATGTTGATTTCTTATTAAGAACAGTTATCGTTATAAATAATATTAAAGTAAATCTTCCTTTAATGAGTAAAAAACAGACACAGTACAACATTTATAGAGTACAGAATAAAATTTGTTTACTTAAAAAAAAACCCTAGTCATGAAACATGGCAATGCCATGAAACCAGAATTTTACAAACTGGAAACCATTTTTCTATTTTTAGAAAGAGTGACTTTGACCCTTGTCTCAAGCTAGGTCTTCACAAAAGCTTGCTATAAACAAAGTCTGATTACAATTTCTCATTCAAACTCTAGTTATCAACAGAAAACCACCTGTTTGATGCCCAAACAAACTCAACCAGCCGAACGCCTGCCATTCCGCATGATTAAAAGCAGGATTTTCAAAACTGAATCCTTGGTGATACATAATAGTTTTCTGAAAATTAGGCTTCAAACAAACAAAATCATACCACTGAAGGTCTCTTTAAGATCATTTGTTCGTATCTTCCCTTAAACGTGCTAGTAAAGCCCGGATCTGCTGTTGTTAGAATTATTGGAATCTTTGTTTTAGACATAAAGCTTTGTATAGCTGATAAAAATCCCTTGTCTTCATCAAATACCACATCCACCTAGAAAATAATACAGCTTTGTGAAATGTACGCATTAGCACCATCTTTAAGTCTTTAATGTAAGTTTGTGTGTTTGGATTTTCCGAATTTAGGGTGCACAACACAATTTAGGTCATATGATGCGGAAACAGGAAAGATAATTTTGGCTAACTTTGGGTGTTAAAAACTTGAAGCAACACCAGGGGTCAAACTACCTCACCTGGAGCTAAGAGATGCATAGAATCCAGTAATTCAAACCCATTTAATCGCCTAATATAACCACGCTGATTCTGATGTCTTACCTGTTAAAAGCAAGTGCTCAGCTTCTAGCAGACTTTCATGTCAGAGGTTGACAAAACTGGTTGAAATACAAAATTACACTTAAATATAATCAAAAAAGTTAATCAAGTTTCAAGGGAAAATATCTAGGACTAAAGATTAATGGAGGTCTCTCTCAATTTATCCTTTATGGGCAAAATGGATGTTTAATTTAAGAGATTGGGTAATACAAATAAAGAGGTCATACATGATCTGTTGAATTTATTTTAAAGACTGTACAGTCTAACTTGCCTATGCGACCACGTGTATTAAGCGACTTTTGTCTTAAACGACCACTTTAAATTCCCCCCGATCATTTTCTCTCTATATCTTTAATGTATTAAGCGACTTTTGCTCAACGCGACCAGCGACCGCTAATTAGTCACCTAATTGACATCAATCTTTTCATTAAACAACCACTTTTACCTGTCAAGTAATTGTGTTTTAAGAGAACGCCACCTCGTTATGTCACAAGTGTCAGCAATCAAAACACAACAATAAACGTGTGAAAAACTCTATTTCCCATACCGTTTAAGCGTATGCAAATGAAGTTAAGTATACGCGTGACGTGTTTTATCCAATAATATCGGATAAACAATGCAACGCTCCGCCCATACTGAGATGGTGTATACGCTTCGCTTGTTGACATTTAGACTGCATTGAATTGACCTTGAACTTGATCAGCCATTAAATTAATCGTAACAAATAGATGTAGTTTGTTTATTTCAAATGAAAAAATGCACAACAGAAAACATCTTCACTAATAGGGTTTTCGTGTTGGAGACAAGGAAAAACAACGGAGAAGTTAAAAAATTCTGGAAAAAATGTCAAACATGTATGTAATGGATCAAAACTGTTTTGTCAATAAATATCGGAACGTTATTTTTACATTTGCATCCGTTTAGATTTTCGGACCGTACTTATTTTTCAACATTTATATAAAAATGAAGTTGAAAAACAATCCCATCGAATAAAAAAGATGTCATTTATAAATTTTGACTTTTATATCATGCTGACTGTCTTAAGAGACCGTTTCATTAAGCGACCGTTTTTGGTGTTTCCCTTGCCCGGTCGCTTAATACACGTTTCACTGTATTTTCCATTAAAGTTCCTTCTTTGCATTACAAATCACAAAACCATTGATAGTTTTGAATAATTTTGAATAAATAAAACAGGTACAAAATTCAATTTGCAATGTTTATACCTTCAACAAGAGGGCCATGATGGCCCTGAGGTCGCTCACCTGTATATAGCCCCCCCCCCCCCCCCAATTTTTACCCAAGGGCTTTTATTTGTTTATTTGAACAGACTTGGTAGACACCCATAAGAAGATGTTTCATGCTAAACATCTAAGTTCTAGCTCATTGGGTTTTTTAAAAAGAAGATTTTTAAGTTTTTGCTATACACATATAAGGAAAATCAATGACCCCCCGGGGCAGGGCCAGTTTTGACCCCAGGGCTTTTATTTGAACATACTTGGTAGACACCCATTAGAACATGTTTCATGCTAAATATCTTAGCTCTAGCTCTTTGAGTTCTTTAAAAGAAGATTTTTTAAGTTTTTACTATATGCATATAGGGAAAATCAATGACCCCCTGGGGCGGGGCCAATTTTGACCCCAGGGCTTTTATTTGAACAAACTTGGTAGACACTCATTAGAAGATGTTTCATGCTAAATATCTTAGCTCTAGCTCTTTGGGTTCTTTAAAAGAAGATTTTTTAAGTTTTTACTATATGCATATAGGGAAAATCAATGACCCCCTGGGGCGGGGCCAATTTTGACCCCAGGGCTTTTATTTGAACAAACTTGGTAGACACTCACTAGAAGATGTTTCATGCCAAATATCTAAGCTCTAGCTCTTACGGTTGTTTAAAAGAAGATATTTAAAGATTTTTCTTTCGGTTGCCATGGCAACCAGAGTTCTGCATGGAATTAAATTCTTTGAACAATTTTTAAAGGTGACCACCAAAGGAACATTCCTGTGAAGTTTGGATGAAATTGGCTCAGTGGTTTATGAGGAGATGTCATTTAAAGCAAAAGTTTACTGACGGACGCCGGACGGACTGACGCCGGACGAAAAGTGATCACAAAAGCTCACCCTCACTTTGTGACAGGTGAGCTAAAAAAGAAGGATTTTGCATTCAAAATAATTACTTCGACAAGGGAGGCAATCAAAAGGATAAAATCTCTGAACTCCAAACTTCATTACAAGGGAGACAACCATTTAAGTATTGTTCATTGAAGAACATACCTCATCAAACAAAATCAGTGTTGTACTGGACAGGTTGAGACTCTTCGCTACACTTTGGGAATTACTGTCTTCTATAATTAACTGTAAACTTTTGTGCTTCAACTCTGCTTCTTTCTTCTCTCCCTTAGTCTTCGTGTTGCCATCTGCAATAGAATTGACTTTTTATTTATTGTTTGTACAGTAGATCAGTCATGCTTATGTTGCAAAGAATTTAAAATTATTTCCAGTACAATGGACTCTGTTTGATAAAGATGATGTTCAAAACAAATTTTCAATGTGACTTATATTCAGTGTTGTTTTATATAAGAAATATAGGATACAAATCCTTTTTTCAACCACTGTTTTGTTGAAAACTTGAACCTTCGTACATTGAAAATACAGTAAATGCTATTCTAAATACCTTTGCAAATGCCTAATACAAAATTGAAAAATTTAAACTTCCTTATGAAATCTTGAACAGAGATTTTAACATATCCAGTTATTTACAGGGTGAATATTAGCAATAAACAAGACTCTAATAAAAGAAATTGACATACTTGATATCATTAAAACATATAACCAAATCTATACACCTCTACCAATTTCTTGATTAAATACATTCTGAATAGGTGTTGTAACACCTAGCTGGTGTTGTAGCACCTAGCTGTCCAAGTGTTTGAATTTTCTAGATTTACAATGAGAAAAATTCAGCAAGAATTCATGCCTGAGAGTTTCATACTGTGACCTAGAACCACGTGAGGTTTCAATTGAAAAGCTTCATGAGTAAGATGCAATATCATGTTTTTAGAACAAGCAAATGCATCTAAAACGATTCCATCCCACTTTGGTTTAGATCCAGTAAACCTCCTTACAAGCAAATATCACAATACTGTATACCACTGAGCCAAAGTATCGAACTCTGGTGAAGAGGCTGTTTATCAGAGGAGTATCCTCATACATAACACAAGCAGAACCTTACAAACGTCAAGTATTATACCAATGCAAAGGAAAATGATAGTCTCGTTTTTCTTCAAATAATTAAGATAATATTTGTGGGAAAAATTGTCCAGCATTACCTTTATCAGATTTGTGTCTTTTCCTTTTCCTCCCAGCTGGTTTTTCCTCTTGTTTACTATCATCAGAAGGTGCTGCTTTCTTGAACAGATTTGTAAATGCTGTAGGCATCTTGTTTTCTGGTTTGGGCTTGTCACCAAGAGCTTTAATATCAATATACATGTATCTTGTTTAAACTGACAAAAAACATTGCAAGATAAACACCCCTCTGTTTCTTTACAGAAAACTCCTAGAAAATGAAAGCCCTGGTCTTTGTTAACAGAAATTATCTAAAATTGCACTATGCTTCAGTGTTCACAGGAAAATATCAAAATTGTCCTTTTTGAAATACATTAATCTTAAAAAATTTATTTTGCAAGTATAAAATATTAAAATCTTACAAAAGATGGCATAAACATTTTTTAAACGTAGCACTAACACAGTATAGGTCATAAGGCCACTTTTAAGCTGTACTGCTGGAGGCTGCCCCTCTGTACATTATATCAGGCACAAGCGGGCCTTGTAGAACCACATATGTTATTTTGATATAAACTGATTTTGAAGTGTCTGAAAATCTATCTACAAAAATGTCAACAATGAAGTTATCAAGACATTAATCACAAAATGAGGTAAATATCCACAACCTCATAAAATCTTCATACAACATGACAAAAAGTACAGCAGTGTAAAAACACATTTCTTTGTTACTTATGCTTTAAATTTGATTTGCAAAAAATATACAAATATAAAACACAATTAAGAGTAATCTCACTGTTACAATAGATATACATGTATTGATAACATGCAACAATTCTTTTAAAGCTATCAATTCTTTGCTTTGCTTTCAATAAAAACAAACATGTTTCTGAACATTTCTCTACACTACCTGTGTTTTTCCTTGGTGTATGATTTCCCTGACTAGAGACTTGATGGGACTGTGTGGCTTCCTGAAGCTGGGACAGAATCTGTTTACCACTTCTACATGATGATGCATTTACTTCATGTACCTGACAGCAGTAATGTTGAAGTTAATATTATTCATTTTTCCGTTCTTGAATGGGTATTAAGTCACCAAAGATTCAAATGAAAATGAAAAATTTAAATTCTGAAAAAAGTCCACAGGCTCATTTATGTGTATTATAGAAACAATGAATGAATAAAACCATCTTTCTTCCATTAGGTATCTGAGAAAGAATAATATATTTAGCTTAACTCAAATTTACAATAATGATGGCAAGTAATGCAATTAAAATATTTTCTGTAATAAATGAGAGACATGAGGGCCCTTAATCACTAAAATGACAAGATTTTATTACCAGGATATTCCTTGTTAACTGACCAAAATGATTTGCACAGTTTTTGTAAAGGATAACGATCATTGCTGTAAAGTTTCATCAAAATCTAGTAAGTTGTTGAGGAAACATTTTTTTATTTTTAGCTCAGTTGACCATCTTGTTTAGCAGATCAGAACCATTTGCACAATTTTATAGAGAACCATCTAGAAATCATTTCTGTATAGTTTCATCACTATTGGCCAAGCAGTTTAGCAGATCATGTTTAAGTAAAAATATTTACAACAGACTGTCACTCTGTTTGACAGACACAAGGTGATCACAAAAGCTCACCTTCAGCACTCAGTGGTTTGGTGAGCTAAAAAATGAAGATAGGCAGAGCTTAGAGTTCAACATTCCAATTACTTCATAACAATGACATGCAGAACTAAGATCAAACCAGTTCTAAAACGGCAAATTTACCTTAAATCCTAATTCCAGGGCAAGAGCATAGACTGAGCTAGTCTTGCCACAACCATGTGGCCCTGACAAGAGCATAGTATTACACAAGGAGTCATCATCATCACTGTCATCACTATCCATTTCAAAATCACTCCCATCATCCCATAAATCATCATTACCTGTAACAACAAATAATTTTACTCCTGTGATTAAAATGTAATGTTTATTTCAGATAAGACGATGTAAATAAATCATATATATTGTGTGAATAATTAAGAACTTTTTTTTTCTATGCTTTATTGGCCCCTTTCTTTTTTTTTTCTTGGGGTCTCAGGTCACATCAATAAGGTCAAGGTTATACTGCAACCTTTCAGCTCTTGTGTGTGGGAAAAAATCCTTGTAAAAAATATGCAATCATTATTACATATTAAACAAAGTATTCCTGCATTTATATTAAGTTTCAAAAAGTACAGGTCCTAAATGGGTGTTAACTTGCTACCTAAGAAAACCTTATGAGCTTCTTTTTGAGCCTTTAAATAGGAAATAACAAAAAATCCTATATCATACATTTCTTATTTAGTTGCTTCCCTTTGTTTTTCTTCATCAGTAATTTTCTAGCTTTTCTTGCCTCCTTGTCAAGTAAATGTTTCCATTCTGTCAACCAGGTCTTCAATTTCTTCAAAACTCCAGAGTTACCCAACACTTCAGCAGTTTTAGAGGGGCAATACTTCTCTGTCCACAACAAACTAGATCCTAAAATAGTAATGCAAATTATGTTATACAAAATTTTAAGCTTAGCAGTGAATTTCTTCAATGGACTTTTACAACTTTAATTTTTAGAACTGGTCATAATCAAGTTATGGGATATTCATTTGTTCAGCCAAAAGAACAGAGCCCTGTCAGTGTGCATGCTGACCCAGCTATATACTGATGGCAAAGGCCAATTTCTTTTCTTTTCAGCAGGATAAAGGCTCACTAATTATAATATAAACTTTTGCACTATTCATTTACATAAATACTTTCTTAAAGTCACCTTCCATATTCCCAAATGATTACTTTTTACAACATGAAAATTTCTTTTATATAATGAAGATATTCTGTCTTCTAGACAATGAAATTTTTAATCTGTTGATATAATAATAGATTATAGTATAATTCAATATTTACAATTAAAACACATAACAATTCATTAAAACATCTGTACAACATCAAACTTACCAACAGCTTTACATTTATCATCAACTTTGGGTTCTTCATTCTTTTCTTCTATTTTATCTCTTTTCTGTAGTTTCAGATTTTTCTTCTTTTTCCTTTTTCCCTGTTCTTCTTCCTCATCATAAATAACCATCATATCTGTACAACCATCCAGTATACCTGCCATGTCTGTCTTTAACATAGACTCTAGAGGAAAGTTTATACAAGGTGTTTATTTTTGTGGTTTTGGTTTTATGTAAAAACGACACAGTTAACTCGAAGTTATGTGGCATCATACAGGCAATATCAATGTTATATGATATCAAATAAAAATGTTAGTTATATGGTACCATACTAACAATGATATATGGCATCATACAGGCAATATTAATGCTATATGATATCAAACAGACAATGTTAGTATTATGGTATTATACCAATAATTTTAGTCATATGGTATCATACAAAGTTAGTTATATGGTATAATACCAACAATTTTATATGGTGTCATACAGGCAATATTAGTTATATGGTATCATACCAACAATGCGAGTTATATGGTATCATAACAACAATATAACCTATTAGTTACATAGTATCATACAGGTAATGTTAATGTTAAATGGTTCCATACCAACAATGTTAGTTATATGAATATGGTATCACACCAAAAATTTTATATGGCATCATATGTGCAATATAAAAGATACATGGTATAATACCATCAATGTTAGTAACATGGTAGAAAAACCAACAATTTAAGATGGTATCATACTGACTGTCAAAGTTTTCATTAAAAAGCTTTAGTGGAAAATATAGCAACTATAAAAGTTCACAAACTTACCAGATTTTGGTGGTGGTCTCTCTGTTTCAATTTTCATTTCTTTCACAGCTTTATACATCGCAGTGACAGGATATGTGGAATTAAAATTGGCTATTTCCCCTTTACATAACTCTACCATATCATCAGATATTGGCACAGGTGGCTTGTAATTCTGTAACATTTAAGTTTGTTATTAAAAAAATTCATATCAAAATTCATAAATATTTTTATACTCTTGGTCTGATGCAGCAACTAATTCTTCCAATGTAACCAGGGCAGACCAGGATGAGCAAATATCATGGTCTGCACTGTTCACTATTCTATACATAATTTGAAAATTTCCCTAAAATGATGAAATGCTTTGTCCAGTTTGAAAGAAAGACAAATGCATTTAATGGTTTAGCCTACCTAATAAGGATTAAATCAAAGAAAACATTTGAATAGTATAATAAACTTGTAATCAAGACTATTAACGGGTTATGCAGTAGTATTTGCTGTTTCACATTAAACTAGGGACATGTCTTATATTAACAAGACACATCTGTTAACAATGAGTCATATACCTGAAAAATATCTCTTAAATATGATATCTCTCTCAATGAGAAATGAGATTTTTTTAATTAACTTTACTATCAAGGGTGTCAATTAACATCAATAAGCAATGAAAGAATCTTATATACAATCATATTATGAAGTTTTTTATTATTCATTTACATAAAATACTGCACATATTTTGTTCTTGAAATTTTTTCACAATCACATGTAATGAGTTAGTGATATTTATTGTATCTCACTTATATTACCTATACTGCCATTTAAGAAACATAAAACTGTGGCTTACCACTATTCTGCTTAAACTGTCAGGTTTCTTATCATATCTCGCTATCAGGTCACCAGTAAACCTTGCATGTGGATGGATAATAAAAGGAATAATAAAATAACGCAGACCCAGCTCTACAGGGTTCAAGTCCCAAACATTAACCGTGCCTCTTTGTACAAGTATTTGATCTTTTGGGACCTGAAAGAAAATATAAATGTTATCTCAAAATTGTCTTCCATTTTAAGAAAAAAATGTAAAAGAATTCTTTTTAAACTGTGAGCACACGTAAACTTAGTTGTCTATTGAGCAATCAAGGCTGTCTTGTTTCTTTTTTTTTTCTTCTATAAAGATAGCCCGAGTAATTTGACAGTCCCCCTACTTCAGAAAGCCAAGGAGACATTACCAAGCTTACCAACTCTATTACAAGTAGTGAAACTGATAGCGAACAGGATGGATCCTGATCAGACTGCGCGGATGCACAGGCTGGTCTGGATCCATTCTGGTCGCAAACGCATTATGTTGGTTTTGTCTTGACGCGGCTCATTTATTAAAGATTTATGTTGTGTTTCTCAAACAAAATTATATTACAAATTTACTATAACAAGATTTTTTTTTTCATTTTATGTGCCTTCCATTATATCGCAATTCTCATTTAAAATAATTTGTGATATAAAGCTCAGTATTATTTGTTGATATGTATAATTTCCAAGGTATTGCAAAAAGGCCTGGCAATGCTTTTCAAAAAGTTATAGAAGTTTCCTACCTGTAAAACATGACTGGTTCTAGGTAAAGGTGGGTAGTCAGCATCAACTTGTGATGCAATCCTGGTAGCAGTCTGTTTACGTAGAGCTTCAGGTACCCCACTCATCAGAAATTGTTGTCTCTGCTTAACAAGCTCTGGATCTAAGGGTGGTTTTTTCGGGGAGGGCTCTGCCGCCTTGTTTTTTCCAATTAAAAACATAGGGGCAAGCTTCGATCCTAAGCAAATATTAATATGAAAATATTAATGATCAATTTACCAGTATTTTAAGCAACTTTTTTCAGATAATTAATAAATATAATATACTGTCATGAAAAACACACTTTCCTTATCATTTTACTAACATCTTTATAAAATGTCGCCAAAGGCATTTAATTTCTGAAATAAAATCAATTATCCATGTCTTTTGAGAAGAAATGGCAAAAGGTTCTAAGCATTGAAATGTTGCGTGATTTGTGTTTCTTCTAATTTGTCATCCATTCTCTGTACATTTATTGTCATATTTATATAAGATGTAAATAATGAACAAACTTGTATAAAACTATCACAAAAAACAGACAAAAGTTTTGTGGCTGTAAAATCTGACGTTTTTTACAATCCAATAACTGGACTACATTCTCAACATTTATTAACTATACTAAATATACAAGTATCTGACTAATAAAGTTATTATTTTTTACAAAAATTACTATTATCTTATGTTTTCTCATCTCAATACTGAAAGGCATTTCTATGTTACTTTAACATATATACCTTAAGTTTCTGAAACTTTTTAGAAATCCACAAAATGATCAATATCTAGACATTTGAATTCAACTACAGAACAGAATGATCAATACCTTTCTTGGATGGAGTTCTATTTTTAGATGGAGTGCCAACCTTCTTTTTCACGACATCCTTCTTTGGGGTCCCCTTATTATCTACCAAATTGATTTCATCTACATTCTTTGGTATCTCTGATTTAACATTTTTGGACCCTTTTGGACGACCCCTTTTCCGGACAATTTTCACACTCTCATCTTCATCATCAGATGATGATATCACAATATTTTCTAACGAGACCTCTTCCATTGATGCCATACACTTTCCCTCTAATCTTGAACTTCTGCGAGTCAAAGAATCCTCCGAAGAATTTGATGCATTTCTTTTCTTTAGGTTCTTTTTCAACTTCTTGGCCTCTTTGTGTTTCTTAAGGCTAAAAATTTCTTTGTCTTTCTTTATCTTATGTTTCTTAAGCCTTCCTCTTTTAGCTTTTTCCAGCAAAGCAAGAGCTGTGGTTTGATTCACTGTAGGCTAAATAAAGATATCATTTCAAATATCAGAATGGTTATATAAAATAAATAAATCATAAAATTAATCAATCAATTAGTTACATCAATAATTTGTCAACAAAAAATCCTAGAAAACCCTTGCTTAATTTTTATATTTTGACACAGACATAGAAATGTACATGTATCAAGATGAAAATTTTAAGCTGGATAGAGCCTGGTCAGACTTTAAGGCTGGCCTAGCTTCTTTTAAGTGGCTTACGTTCTAATAGGGTAATGGCTAAACAGTGTGTTTCAATTTTAAATTGTTTAAATTTGCCAAAAATACTCCATACCATGAACTGTTCATAATCATAATCTAAGTTTACCTTTGCATTCAGATTACAAGACATGTTAACAATACCTTGACTTTTTTTAGATTTAAAGCAGACTTGTCAACATCTTCACCACTGCTGCTACTTTTAGGACATCTGAAAAAAAGCAAACTTGAAATAGCATACAGAACTTAAAATAACATGCAAACTTTGGACATTTGAAAAGAACTTATAGTTATATACTAATTGTATACAAGTATGACTGTATTTCATTATAGGAAAAACTGAAAAAATCTAACCTCTTCAGTTTTATCTTGATGGGGGTCTTTTTATCAGCATCCATCTGAAAAGCTTCGACTTTGTATCGTTTTCTCAGTGAACGTCTCCTGTCATCATTATCACCAGATTCAGATTCATCATCCTCAAGCTGCCTCTTTCCTTTCCTTATAACCTTCTCAGGTGTAGCAAACACAGAACTGTCACTAGCATTAAGAGCCTCGGTAATATTTTGTTTTGGCTTTCTCCCTCGTTTTCTTGGAGGAGCTTTCATTCCTTCCCCCTCATTGGTACTGGGTTTCTCAACTTTATCATTACTCACTATCTCACTTGTTTTATCTTTAGACTCCTCCTCATCTGATTTAGTTATTGCTTTAGAAACAGTAAGGCCTGATTTACCAAAACTTAAGGTGGCTTGAGTTTTCTTTCCACAAAATAAACTTTTGCTGCTAACATCACATTTGATATCCTCTGAATGTATTTGTTTTTCTTCCTTTGCATCAGTAACTTCTACATCTATTTCCATCTTTTTGGTTTCAATTAATTCAATTGCTTGTTTATTTTCTACCTCGCTTGTAACTGACGATTTTATTTGCTCCGCCTTAGGCTTTCGGCCTCTTTTGCCAACAACTTTTCCCGTCTTTTTATTCAACTTTTCTCTGTCTGGCGTTGAAGTCATAAATGTAAAGAACTTTTTGGAATCACCTTTTTCAGCATCTTTTTCCACTTTTCCAGAATCATTATCGATTATTTCCAAGTCAATCTCATCATCATCAACAAGCTGAGGTTCAGTCACATTATCAGTATCAGATTCTATCAGGTCAACACTCTTTTCATCAACATTTGATTTTTCAACCATTTCCAAGTATTCTGTATAGGACATTTCTTTGACTTCATTCCCTTTTTTTACTTCATGTTCCTTTGAAGTCGTCTTATCTAAAGTATCAGAAAAGTCTTGATAGGATACTTGTTTTGATCCACTTGTTACTGAATCCTTGTCCAAGTCTTTACTTCCTTTTAATTTCTTATGTTTATGCTTTTCATTTACAACCTCTTTCAAATTACTTTCTTCTTCCTCTTCAATATCTTTCACATCATTTACGACTTTACTTCTTCTCCTAGTCACTCTTTTACCAGCTTCATTAAATATTTCATTACCAGTTCTCTTCTCATCCTCATTATCTTCAGCAACCACTTTGACCTCTTCTTTACCATCAGAATTATCTTCTGAAACTGCTATTTCAAGAACTTCTTTATTAGGTTTATCTTTTGCTTTATGGTGTTTATGCTTCTTTTTGTGTTTTCTTTTATTTTTCTCTTCTGATTCTCCTGACTGAATCTCTTTTAACAAGTTAAGCATATCTTTTCCTTTCAATGCACTTTTCTTAGATTTTTTCTTTCCATTATCTAAAATCTCACTTGAAGTGCATGTTGGTTCAGTTTTTCTTGCCTTGCCTACCACTTCTTTCTCAACCTCTTTTCCATTTTTATCACCTCCATTTATACATTCTAATTTCGATTTTTTAATCTTCTTACTTTCAGTACTTTCTTTTATTTTTGTCGACTTTTCCAGCTTTTTATTTTTGTCTTTATCTACATGTTTTACAAAAAAAGTTTCGCTGTCCCTAATATTTTCAGTAATTTTATCAGTATTTGCTGTGGTCTTTGTTACTTCAGAACTTTCCTGAACTACCTCATTTGTCTGTTTTCCATGATTTCTCTCTTTAAATAAACTGTAATTTTTACCTTTGCTTATAACTTTGCTATTGTTTTCATGTGCTCCTGTTTTAACCTCTTCTGTTTCCATTTCAATTTCATTTCTAATTTTCTTGTGCTCAACACTATTGAATCTCTTCACTTCTTTATCTTGGTCAACCTCCCCTTTCACTTTCTTTTCTCTTGGCGATGAAATACACTTATTTGCTACATCTTTATCACTTACCATTTCTTTGTTTCCAACTTCTGTCTCTTTCAGTTTATCAGTACTTTCAAGAAATGAGAAATTACTTGAACTTGAATCTGATAACAATATAACAGAGTCAGACATGTTAAGCTCTGTTTTTTCATCTTTGGTCTTTCTTTTCTTCTTATGCTTTTTGTGCCTTTTAGTGTCATTAATCTCCTTATCATGCAACTGCAGCCCAGGATTACTTTCCTCGCTACCAGCAGTTTTTGGCTTTTTACTTAACTTAGATTTAGTTTCCCCATTTTCAGTATTTGCTCCATCATTGTCAAGAACTTCATTATTTTCTTTGTCACTATTAGTTGGAGTAGTAACATCAGTTCCATTAACTAAGACATCATCTGAAGTTGCTATCACAATGTTTTCTTCTTTCTTGTCTTCTCCTATGTCTTGCTTACCAAAAAACTGTAACAGACTTTTCTGTCTTTGTTTTTCAACTTGCTTTTCAGGGGTTTTGAAGAAATCTGAAATCTTTCTGACATTTTTGCCAACTTGCCCATCTAGATCTTTTTTCTTCTTGGCAGACTAAATTAGCAAACAAACAATTATTTGTACTAATTTAACCAAAATTATATATGAACCGAGCTCCTGAACACTTTTTTCATTTTTTTCAAAACTACTATAATTATTATAGACTTTGTAAAAAACAACAAAAAAACAACAAAAAAATGTGTTTCATTCCTTCTGAGATGTTAAAAGAGGTGCAATAATTAACATGTTTATGCAAATAGAAGTTATCTGACAATATTCCAACTTGAACAATAGACTTTGTGCTTTTTAAGGTCATTTTCTTAATATGAGCAGACCTCTAGTTAAAAAATAAGCATTAGAATTATTTTTCTCACTTTAACAGCAGAGCAGTCACTGACCTTAAATTCAGTTCATGCTATCTATAGATTAACACTTTACCTGCTGAACTGGATTTTCCTAGCAGTTCATTTGAAAATTAAGGTATGACAATACCAAGATAGACAAAAATTGAGCTGTGCAGGCTGGTCTGCCTTTATACTGGTAGGAAATGATCCAGCAGGTGAAGATTTAAACTACAGTACACACACATATTGAGGAAAAAAATATGTTTCCATATCAGTCCATACCTTTGTCAATGATTCCTTTGGCAACACTTCTACCTCCAAGATGTCCATAATTTTACTATCAGTAGTTCATAATACCATACATCATTCTAAAAAAAGAAAAAAAATTGATAAAATCATTACTTTTAACACATTACAATACATGTAAATGAGTATCATAGGGTATTGTGACATACATTTTTTTTTATCCAATATCTAATTAGCACCATGTGTTTCAGCCTAGAAACACAGTGTTAACATTAACCCATATTGACTTGTTTACATTAAAGAATGACAGTTTGTCTTTAATTAACAAGAACTTCAGTTTGTTGAAGGTGACCAGTAACTGTATACTGGAAGAAGAAGAATTCAGGTGATAAAAAAGCAGTCATCAACGAAAGGTATTTATTACTGGGTGGTAAATGCACTGTCAATCCTCAATGTATGGTGACAACATAAATTTCCACTTTACAGACTCTTTCTGAAATTTGCTTTAAAATATTTAATACAGCACATCATGAGAAGGGTCACAATTGTATGTAAATGCAACAAATATTGGCTGTAAAACAAGGGAAAATTCTTTCTTTCCCTCAGTATGTGTACATCGAAGAGAAGACACAGGGCATCAGCAGAAGATTTGAAGACTGGGGTCGCGAAAAAAGATCAGAACTTGTGCTGCGGACCAGCTGCCGATGTCCTGACTAAAGCTGAGGGGAGTGGTCCTACAAAGAAGGCTTTTGGTAGACGAGGATGGTGTGCTAAGGTGCGTGAGCCCTTAGCACGGTTAGACTGCGTGAACTGCAGGCCTTTTGCTGGCACCAACAGCCCTTCTTCAGGGCTAACCTTTCACATTGTCTCAGGTTACTGTTCATTTAGGTTCTTATTGACTGCTGTTCAGTGACAGACCTGTTTACCCCATTAATGCCCTGTCAGTAGTCGGAAAGTGGTTTATCAGTAGTTTTAAAAACTTGTCAATAGTTTTTAGGCCCTAGATTTATAACCACACTTGGTCACTAATTAAAGTCAAAAATGACAACAGAAAACAGTTAGACAGTAGCATGCATGCAACTAAAATCACTCACACACACACAGTGTACGAAATGGGCACCTTTACGAGATGGTAAGAGACAGGGCCGCAGTTTTCTGTAAGAATCTAGGAACTTCTGCGAGGATTTCTTGCGTTTTACCGGTGATTTGTGAATCGCAAATGCTGAATCGTGGATCTGATCGAATCATCACCTATCTGACTATCCAAACCCCTACTATTTTAAATGTGTTTCTTCTTCTGTTTTTCTTGCGTTTTTTACTTATTAATTTCATGAATGATGCACTGAAATTTGCAAAGCACGTTTTCTATGATGCAGTCATAATCTACCTTATTTGGATGTCTTTTAATTAGTTATTTCTCCAATTAGTAGTGCCGACAATTATTGTTTGAGTATTCGAAATTTATTTATTTCCAGTAACTGCCTGTGTGTGTGTGTATAAATTGCTAACCGTCGGCACATTTTCTGTCCGACTTTTAACTGTTCTACAATCAGTCACGGTATCTGGGATTTAGACATGTATGGTCTGGATAAACAAGCGATTTGTGTATGCAGACACTGTTCTCACAATGGCAAACACACCACAACAAATAGGGGCTTTAGTGGCCAAAATATATACCATAATACCATGTCTACAATAAACAGATGTCTGACAGATTGAATGTTTTAACGCAAATAAGCCTTGGCTCATCCTTGGAACTGCAAAAATTGAGAAATTGAAGTTAACACATGAAATCAAACAGTTCTGAGATTTACTTTTTTAGTTTTTACTTTTTTTTAATTTGACCCTTCATTATTTCAAAAGATCCCCATTATTTTATACAGAGGGTTACAAATGACCCCCAAAAGTCTAGTCTTGCTAACACTGATTTTATTCTTTTTTGCAAAAGAAATTTTTGGCTAGAACCCTGTAAGACCTGTATTCATCAAACAAACATTCCCTTTGCACATCAAAATGCCAAATATTTTGCAATTCGTTTTATCTGTGATCACAGGTAAACGTTGCGTGGCCATGACTTACACTATACCCCCGTCCCCCCTCTACAACCCAAAACCCTAAAAAAAATTATGAAAAAAAAAAATTTTATGACTAAAATATTATAAAGGTATTTTACTCTACTTTCATTTTGCATAGAAATATCACTAGCATCTCAATTATCAGCGCATATATTCATCAATTTTTCACCAATCTTAACAATCTTGGTCTCAAATCTTAGATAAATAAATACTCTTTAAGAAAACAACACTGGCACCTTCGCTGATTATACGTAGCAAGAAATATCCAAGCCCAAACTGTCAACAAATGAAACTCGGAAGAGATCTGATTGCACCATTTCGGTAAAACTCTCACGAGTAAAACACACTAAATTCACCGTGAAAGAATATTTCTTTGTATTGCGTATTTAAATATGATAAAATTAAGTTATTATTTATAATAATTGTTCAATCAAAGCATCTTATGAAACTATAACGCACCTTTTTTCCTATATGTCAAATTCTCATTCCAAAATGAAAGTAAAATGGGCCTGCAGATTGTTTTCAAATGGAGTATTTTCATTGGTCACAGGAAAACCTCGGACCAATGAAAATACTTAAAGGGAAACAACTCTGCTGTGCAATTTACTTTCATTTTGGATTGAGAATTTGACATATAGGAAAAAAAGGTGCGTTTATAGTTTCATATGATGCTTTGATTGAACAATTATTACAAATAATAACTTAAATTTTATCATATTTAAATACGCAATACAAAGAAATATTCTTTCACGGTGAATTTAGTGTGTTTTACTCGTGAGAGTTTTACCGAAACGGTGCAATCAGATCTCTTCCGAGTTTCATTTGTTGACAGTTTGGGCTTGGATATTTCTTGCTACGTATAATCAGCGAAGGTGCCAGTGTTGTTTTCTTAAAGAGTATTTATTTATCTAAGATTTGAGACCAAGATTATTAAGATTGGTGAAAAATTGATGAATATATGCGCTGATAATTGAGATGCTAGTGATATTTCTATGCAAAATGAAAGTAGAGTAAAATACCTTTATAATATTTTAGTCAAAAAAAAATTTTTTTTTTTCATAATTTTTTTTTAGGGTTTTGGGTTGTAGAGGGGGAACGGGGGTATAGTGTAAGTCATGGCCATGCAACGTTTACCTGTGTCTGTGATTAAAACTTGAAATATGTTTTAAAATAAAGCATTGAATTGGAAATTAATTATTTTCTACAAGAAATTTCACCTGTCCTGTAGAGCAAGCATTACCTGGAATTATACACACACATAATTAATTTCTACTGGTAATTATGAGCAGACAAGTGAACTTGTCGAGCCCTGTGTACATTTGATGGTTTGCGGCTTAGTGTGAAATTTTGCTGAGAACAGTGATAATCGAACATTTGTGATAACATGAACATTACCGGATTATCTATCTCTATTAGTCTCAATAAGACCGACTGATTTTACAAACTGATATTACACAGATGTCGACCATCGTCTATATAATAAAAGGAAGTGGCTAGCTAGCCAAAAGTTCTAGCTGTACATGAGTCACACATGGCTAGCCAGGACACACTGTAGTGCTAGTCGTACAGCACTTTTCAAAATTATATGAAAGTCGAAAATGCATATGTTTTTTTTATAACTTTAAGCAAGGGTTTTAACCAAGAAACAGCAATTGTCTTCGTATGTTTACCTTTTAGAGATAAATCACCATGTTGGCTACAGAAAAGAAAATACAAATATTGATCTTTGTCATCTCAATAAAAAAAAGCATTTGGTTGAAGTTGAATAACACCAATTGAAATATTTTAATTTTTACAAAATTGTGATAATAATCCTTTTTATTTCAATAACTTTAATTTTAAACACCTTTTAAAATGTTAAAAAGCACCGAAAATAATTGTTATGTCAGGCTCTGATAATTGCGTCAATAACTGACAGTAGAAGTTGTCCATCATTAAGGAAAGTTTGCAGGTTCCGTGAAGCGCATTCCAAAATTCTATTGTCAGTCCCTGGATAGGCTTTAATTTAGGGTAATTGATTGTGCTTTGTGCTCGATATTTATCTACTGATTTAATAATATTACATTTGTTTTTGCTTTTCAATTTTTTTTTTTTCTTTCCATGATCAGGGTTCTCACTAGAACTTTAAAAGATGGAGACCATTGACTCCCAACCCTGAAAAACTTGGAGTCCAAAAACGCGTCGCAATTAATAAGTTTACAGATTAGTCATTCAATGCTCACAATAGCATTGCTGATATTTTGAATCTTCAAGAGACTTTCAAAGTTTATAGTTATTCAAAAGAAACTCTGAACTACATAGTATAATTATTGTTTTGTTGTTAATATTTATTATGAAATTATTTCATTAAATCGTTTTGTGTTTTTCACTTTTATACCAAATCAAATTTTATTCTGGTTAGATAAGTCCACTCTAAAGACAAAAAGTTTATATTGTAAAAAAAAAACGTAAATGTATATAGGCAGCGTTTAGCGGAATGAATAGGAAAATCGTGTACAGCTTCACACAGTGTGTAAGAGATTCATCCAATCGACAATTATTTTAGCAAATATCTTCAAAAGGGGGCAAAATGAAGATCGATATTTAAAGACTTAATGTTGATTAAATAATAAAAGAACAATTCATTGACATGTTTGGCTTGGAAACTGAGAATTTTTGCGAAATTTTAGGGTTTCTGGCGAATGTGAAATCGCCGATGTTCGGTATCAATTTTCGGATAGAATCTAAATATCAAAGAAAAGCGTATGTGTATTTTGGTTTGTCGTCCTGGAATTTCAGCACAATATCTTAAATTCTTAATACACTTATAGAACGTTTTTGCTAGAATGAAACTAAAGCAAAATTGCGCCTAGAAAATGCCGAAAATATTCGACATCATTCAAAATTACATTCATTAAGTCATTTGTAATTTGAGAAAACAGTCTTTAAACTTGCGTCGTAAATTGTCGATAATTTTATCCTTTTGTCGGTAAAGTTCGCTAATTTCCAATCAACTGTTGATCAAAGATATAAAATTATCACCTCGTGTTATATCTGGTAATTACATGTACAGCGCGTGTAAACATTAGTCTGATCACTATTGCGTGATAATGATGGGAAGCGTTATCGCTGATTGGCTAATCGCTTCACGGGTCGATGTGCATAGGACCGCCTACCTATAGACTAACACGCGCTGATGTGTGTATTGTGGTTCTAAAGAATCGGTAATGCTTATGCGTCCTCAGGCAAAATTAAGCGTACGTGGAATCCTTGCTCTGAAATATTTGCGTCCAGCTGTAATAAACATGCGTACCGGGACGCCGAAATAAGCGTCCCCGAGAACCCTGATGATATTTTTTTCTTTATTTTTTTTCCACTTTGATCATGTTGTTATGAATCAAGCTTCTTTTGCCGTTATGATTATTTATTCCATACTATGTGCTTAAAGTTACATTTAATAAATTTCATAAAAACAGAAATAGCGACATTTTATTAATAAATTGGGTTTCATATCGACTCCAGGTCTTATTTCGGTGTCCAGACAACCAAAATAAGTTTCAGGGTTTTACATCTCTTTGAAATTTTAGGGGTCCAGTGGATGCACAGCCTAGAAAAGTAGGGGTCCAGGCCTGAATTTTAGGAGTCCAAAATTATTTTCACTATAAAAGACTATGAAGACCACTCTATTTTGCTTAAACTCATTTATTTACCCTGTAAGAGATATGCATGTATATTGTACTGTTTTCATAAGAAGTATATGATTTCAATATCTTTTATCACTAGGTTTTTTTTATAGCCCTTTAGTAGCCCTTTACAATAATATCAAATGCTATTTCCAAGGCTTATAAGTCTTTGAGTGGCTGGAATGTCAAGTTTTAGTAGCATATTTTGTTATTGATAAGGTGATAACACCAACAGACTGAAAATTTGTACTGATCTATTTGTAAATATTTTAGCTGAACTAGTAAACACACAATATATAACTTTACAGACCTGAGTCAGGTAAATATGTTGCGTTTTTAAAAATATCATATAACAAAAGGCTGACGAAACCGCTTTTGCACCTCCTCATAAGTTGGGACATACTTGATGTCCCAGTCAAAAGTTAAGTTCGCCAAAACCATTATATTTATAACACCAACGATAATAACATACCCAGTGACTTAATTTCTATAACACTATGAAAATAAGTTTGCAAAAAGCACTGCCTTTTTTATTATCGCCGTTCATGTACAAAATACATTCGCATTGACACTGCATTGGATACGCTAACCAATAGTAATTGCTTGTTATAAATAGTCCGTCTAAATATAGCAACAGAAAAACCAAAAACAGCTACCTAAAATAGATTTTACGGTAAACGTCATCAGTTACTGTAGCTTGCACGATAAACGTCCTCAGTTTCTGCAGCGGGCACTTGCAAATAGCATGCGCAGTAGATTTCAATTATGTTAACTTCCGAAATAAACAATGCAGGCATTTTCTGCTCGCTGTATTAGATTTAAATGGAATTTTGTGAGCTTCGAGAAAGAAAGAGATAAAATCATGTCCGGCCAGAAACAATAATATCTATTGTCTAGGATTATTTTTGTGCGTACACTTGGACGCAAGTGGATAACTTATATGCGTACATGTCAAAATTTATGCGTATAGGGACGCAGAATTCTGCGTCCCGTAAAACCCTGAAGTTTTATGAGCATACAAATGTGCAACCTCATTGTGGCGAATTCTGAAGTACAATTTTTGTTTGCATGAGAAACTCCGCCTTCAGATAATCCGTACATCAATGTTAAATCAACAAACATTACTATAAGTAGTAGTCCTAATTTAACGGTATATTTCTGCATTGTAACGGTTATTTTCATACAAATTTAATCTTTTTTATGTGATGATTAATTTTTCTGAACCCCAGGCCTAGTGCACCGTGATGCTTAAACGGTTAAATTGTGTTTGCACAAGAAAATCTTTTATTTGCTGTGTTCCGATAGCAACAATAACACCGTGACGTAGTGCATACACGAGCTGATTATAGTCTTCATTTGCATGTTAAAATTCGTATACGAACTTTAGTGTTACCGTGGGGTTTTCCATTTAAAATCCTAATATATGAACAGTATTTGATGAGATTTATAACGATACTGTTAAAAAGGTTAATGAAACTGTAGAATGCTTGGTTTTTAGGCTGACGGCAAAAATATTTTTACATATTTATTTAATGTAGCTTTAATTAACAAAAAATAATTCATCTTTCATACAAAAAAAAGCAACAAATCATAAGCATGAAAAACAACAACGTTATAACTTAACTATTAATTATTTTAAACACAAATAAATTGCATACAAATAAAAAGTATTTTAAAATGTGTATGATTTGTAAAAATCCCAAGCTTGAAAATTTCTTTTTCAATTTTTTTTTTTACCAAATTAACAGGGCAACATTTAAGAGAACACACGAGGACAAATGCAGGTCCTTGAATAAAATCCTTGTTTAAAGACATAAAATAACATATATGCATTTTTGACTTTCATATAATAATGATAAGTGCTATAAGGCTAGACAATACAGTGTGACCTATCTAGTCATGTGACTACGAAACAAAGCGTACAGCTAGAACTTTTGGCTAGCGGTATTGGCCGGTACGCCTCGCCAATTCCATAATAAAAAGCCTATGATTTTAAAGCTTACAATTTGTTGTTCTACTACAGTTCTCAATATAACAATCTCAGGTAAAGTGGCTGCAGTCTGGTAACTACAAGTCTATGTTATATGCTGGTATAGCAACCAGTCCTAGCAACGAATATATGATATATATTCGTTGTAAGGACTCTGGTGTCTATACCGGCATATTATAAGACATGAAGTTCATTCCATTTGGCCAAAATTATAATTTAACCCAACGGCTACACACAATCACCAACATATTTGATACTAAGCACGTTAGTTTACGGGTCTCTTTGGGTTCAGAAACATTTTAAACGGCTATCTATAACCAAATCGAATAGTTAATGGTTGTTACAATTGATGTCACGTTATTAAATTTCGCAAAAACTCGGATATACCTTCTTTTGTTTTGTTAATTTCCTCAAAACTTGGCGGGAAGTTGTTGTTCCTTTCCACTTCCGCTTAAACATTAAATTTGTCATCTAAACTTTCGTACTACACTTATTCGTCCCAGGACTTAGGAGTATCACTTGAATATTAAGTAAACGTAAAAAAGTCCCTGTTTTTCTGATTGTTTTATTCAATTTATACATTGATAACGGGACGGTATACTTTGCAGACGACTTTGCAGACAAGTTAAACATAGAGGGATTTTGCAGACAAGTTAAATAAAGAAGGATTTTAGATTTTGCAGACAATATAGATTATATAGGGGGTGTTTAATCCCTTGTTAAAAGGTGTGAATGGGCAATTATATTGATTTAATGCCATCTAGAAAGATCTATAATTATTTGTAAAACTTTATTTATTAATTGAAAAATAGTTTTAATGATGTTTTTTTTTTTAGAATAATTTATGCTTTAATAAAAAAAAATAAGAATATAATAATAAAAAAAAACACCAGAATATAATGATTTACATGTATAACAAACAAACAATATTAATTTACTTTTTTTAAGATAATACATAAAGTATAGACAGAATAGAGGTTGAGTTTTGCAGACAAGTTAAACTAAGAAGTATTTTGCAGACAAGTTAACTTAAGAACAAAATATAAAATCATAGTTGAAAATAAGGAAAATCTATATTTTGCAGACAAAATTTATGTTGGATTTTGCAAACAAGTTAGATATAGAACAAAATATAAAATGATAAGGGAATATAAGCAAATCTGTATTTTGCAGACAAAATTAATGTTGAACTTTGCAGACAAGTTAAATATAGAACAAAATATAAAATGATAGGGGAACACGACGAAAATCTGTATTTCGCAGACAGAATTAATGTTGAATTTTGCAGACAAGTTAAAATAAGAAGGATTCTGCAGACAAGTTAAATATAGAACAGAATAAAAAAAAATAATAGGGGAATATTAGAATATCTGAATTTTGCAGACAGAATTAATGTTAAAATTTGCTGGCAAGTTAAAATAAGAAGGATTTTGCAGACAACTAAGATATAGAACAGAATATAAAATGATGGGGGTACATAAGGAAAATAAGTATTTCGCAGACAGAATTAATGTTGAATTTTGCAGACAAGTTAAAATTAGAAGGATTTTGCAGACAAATTAGATTAAGAACAAAATATAAAATGACAGGGGAATATAAAGAAAGTCTGTATTTTGCAAACAGAAATATTTGTCTGCAAAATCCTTCTTATTTTAACCTGTCTGCAAAATTCAATATTAATTCTGTCTGCAAAATACAGATTTTCCTAATAGTCAACAGTTCTGAATTTAATTTGTTTGCAAAATTCAAGATAAATTCTGTCTGCAAAATATAGATTTTCCTTATTTTTACCTATGATATTATATGTATTAGAACATAAGTAATTAATGAATAATAGAGGGTTATATTACTACAGATATCATTGACATTCAAGATATTTTAACCAAGATATCACAAAGATAATCAAATTGAATATACAACATGTATTGACACTTTGAAATAACAATAAACACTGGTACAGATAATTTATTACTAATTGGTTCACACCTTTTAATCATTGAATGTCATTAACGATGCACAGGACAAAAGGTCATACAAAGAACTGAAAAGGCTATAAATTAATTAAAATTATTAATAGTAGATATAGAAGAAGCAATAATTAATTTAAAGTAAAGAAAATAATTATTGATTAATAATAAATTCAACATAATTCTGTCTGCAAAAAACAGACTTTTCTAATATTCTCCTAACTTGTCTGCATAGTCCTTCTTATTTTTAACTTTGTCTGCAAAATTCAACAATTAATTCTGTCTGCAAAATACAGATTTTTCTTATATCCCTTTTCATTTTATATTATGTCTTCTATACCTAACTTGTTTGCAAAATCCTTCTTATTTTAACTTGTCTGCAAAATTCAAACATTATTTTCTGTCTGCGAAATACTGATTTTCTTATGTTCCCCGTCATTTTTTTATTCTGTTCTATATCTAACTTGTCTGCAAAAATCCTTCTTATTTTAACTTGTCTGCAAAATCAACATTAATTCTGTCTGCAAAATACAGATTTTTCTAATATTCCCTCATCATTTTATATTCTGTTCTATATCTAACTTGTCTGCAAAATCCTTCTTTATTTTAACTTGTCTGCAAAATTCAAACATTAATTCTGTTGCAAAATACAGATTTTCCTTATGTTCCCCTTTCATTTTTATTATGTTCTATATCTTAACTTGTCTAGCCAAAATTCAACATTAATTCTGTCTGCAAAATACAGATTTTTCTAATATTCCCCCATTATTATATATTCTGTTTCTATATCTAACTTGTCTGCAAAATCCTTCTTATTTTTAACTTGTTTGCAAAATTCAACACTAATTCTGTCTGCAAAATACAGATTTTTCTTATATTCCCCTTTCATTTTATATTCTGTTCTATACTAACTTGTCTGCAAAATGCCTTCTTATTTTAACTTTGTCTGCAAAATTCAACATTAATATGTCTGCAAAATACAGATTTTCTTATATTCCCTTCCAGTTTATAATTATGTTCTATATCTAACTGTCTGCAAAATTCAACATTAATTCTGTCTGCAAAATACAGATTTTTTCTAATATTCCCCCATCATTTATATTCTGTTCTATATCTAACTTGTTCTGCAAATCCTTTCTTATTTTAACTGTCTTGCAAAAAATTCAACACTAATTCTGTCTGCAAATACAGAATTTTTCTTATATTCCCCCTTTCATATTTATATTCTTGTTCTATATCTAACTTGTCTGCAAATCCTTCTTATTTTAACTTGTCTGCAAAATTCAACATTATTCTGTCTGCAAATACAGATTTTTTTATATTCCCCTTCCATTTTATATTATGTTCTATATCTAACTTGTCTGCAAAATTCAACATTAAATCTGTCTGCAAAATACAGATTTTTCTAATATTGCCCCATCATTTTTTATTCTGTCTATATTTAAACTTGTCTGAAAAATCCTTCTTATTTTAACTTGTCTGCAAAAATTCAACATTATTTCTGTCTGCGAAAATACTGATTTTCCTTATGTTCCCCATCACTTTAGTTTTCTGTTCTATATCTAACTTGTCTGCATAATCCTTCTTATTTCAACTTGTCTGCAAAATTCAAACATTTTTCTGTCTGCAAAAATACAGATTTTTTCTTATATTCCCCTATTATTTTTTTTCTGTTCTATAAGTAACTTGTCTGCATATTCCTTCTTATTTTAACTTGTCTGCAAAATTCAACATTAATTCTGTCTGCAAAATACAGATTTTCCTTATGTTCCCCTTTCATTTTTATTATGTTCTATATCTAACTTGTCTGCAAAATCCTTCTTATTTTAACTTGTCTGCAAAACTCAACATTAATTCTGTCTGCAAAATACAGATTTTTTTCTAATATTTCCCCCATCATTTTATATTCTTTCTATATCTAACTTGTCTGCAAAATCCTTCTTATTTTAACTTGTCTGCAAAATTCAACATTAATTCTGTCTGTAAAACACAGATTTTTCTTAATATTCCCCCATCATTTTTATATTCTGTTCTATATCTAACTTGTCTGCCAAAAATCCTTCTTATTTTAACTTGTCTGCAAAATTCAACATTAATTCTGTCTGCAAAATACAGATTTTTCTTATAATTCCCCCCTCATTTATATTATGTTTTATATCTAACTTGTCTGCAAAATCCTTCTTATTTAAATTGTCTGCAAAATTCAACATTAATTCTGTCTGCAAATACAGATTTTTTAATAGTCCCCTACCATTTATATTCAGTTCTATAATTGCCCATTCACACCCTTTGACAAGGGATTAAACACCCCTATATAATCTATATTGTCTGCAAAATCTAAAATCCTTCTTTATTTAACTTGTCTGCAAAATCCCTCTATGTTTAACTTGTCTGCAAAGTCGTCTGCAAAGTATACCGACCCATTAATAACGGAAGTAAATTGAAAAGAAAAACTTCGTTAAAATCGGCCCCATTTAAACAGGTCACAACTATTTTCTATACTTTAAATATTGAACACCATAATTTATGTCTGTACATTATGGAGGCTGTAAAGTACTAAATGCAGGTTGTTTATTCATCTCATAAAAAAGTAATGCACTGTAAGCATATTTTAGTAAAATCCGTCTTCCCATGTTCCATATATTCAACAATTTTCCATAAGTTATATTAAATAATATAATAGACTAATTGTGAAAATGCAGTATTATAAACAAAAATATCTTAAAGCCCCATGTGATAGTCAAATGACAACCACTCCATTTGCCTAACTTAACAGTAGCTAGAATTTCAAAGATACTTAAAGAGGTTTGAGATTAGGTTCTTTACTTTTTAAGAGGCTTATAGTTTTACAGAAGAGGGGTTGTGCTTTTCCGAGATGGAATTGGAGCTTTTTAATTGTTGAATTATGTCACATTTGACAGAAATGTTAAATACATATTAAAGTGTATATATGTGTATGTGAGAAGTTAGCAGTGAACAGTGAGCTAAGCAAAAAGGAATTTCAATTTATATAGGGAAGTCAATGATCTGCTGTAATGCTCAGCTGTTTTGGGCATCTAGCAGGGCATTCCTAAATAAAGTGTAAAAATGCTCTGCTGCAATACTCAGCTGTCTTGGCAATCTAGCAGAGCATTTCTAGCTTTAGTGAAAAATGCTCTGCTGGAATTATTTACGCTCAGCTGGCTAGACAATCTAGCAGTGCATTACTAAATATACTGTAGTGTTAAAATGCTCTGCTGGAATGCTCAGCTGGCTAGCTAAGCTGGCTAGGCAATCTAGCAGGGCATTACTAAATATAGTGTAAAAATGCTCTGCTGGAATGCTAAGCTGGCTAGGCAATCTAGCAGGGCATTCCTAAATATAGTGTTAAAATGCTCTGCTAGAATGCTAAGCTGGCTAGGCAATCTAGCAGGGCATTCCTAAATATAGTGTTAAAATGCTCTGCTGGAATGCTAAGCTGGCTAGGCAATCTAGCAGGGCATTACTAAATATAGTGAAAAAATGCTCTGCTGGAATGCTAAGC